ATAACTGATACAATTGTCTTTTTCAATTCTCTTACTTGTCTCAAGATTTAACAAATAGTTACACCCAGCACACTTGGCCTGTAGAACAGAGGCAAGCCCAAGAGTCCGCAACTCTGTTTCCAATTTGATTGGAGAAATTCCTTTAGCTGCTAGTGAAATGGCTTGTGGGCATGTACATGCATGCAGAGATAGCTGTGCTACATGGTTTTGAAGCTGGTCCAAATTGATAATTCGATAGCCAGATCTGTAAAAGGAGTTGACTTTGTTCAGCTGAAACTTTAAACCATCACAAGCTGCTCTCGCTATTCTGTATATGACTGGGGTTTCCGATTTGGATGGTAGCGGTCGTCGAATAGCTTTTACGACTCTTTTTTTCATTATCAGAATTTTGTTTGGAGCTCGTGAAACAGAAGTCTTGTTAGTACATGTAGTTTGGGCAGTAACTGATGGACTTATCACCTTCGACTTGTACACATACACATGTCTTCTTACACGTTTAGCCTGAGTACTCCTTCTTTTTCTTCGGTGCCGGCCATTCCAAACCTATAACTGGTAGTCATCTTAACTGGCTAAAGTGATTTATATCATCTAGTTCAGGCTTAATAATGAAAAAGTTGGTATGCTTGCTAACAGTTAACACATGGTCATGTACGTCACTCCATACTATCCTAGTGCATTAATTCGGTGAAAACAATTATAATAACTTACTTACCTGATAGGTTCATGTTTATTTTTGTAAATAACAACGGGAAATGGGTATGAAATGGGAAAAAATATGCATTTTAAGTGTTTTAAAACTTACCGGAAGTATCATGTCTGTCAACTGTCAAACAAATGTCAGGTGTCTGAGAAAATGCATGGTTTCCTGGCGCTGATCAACCCGATCAGTGAACACATAACTGATACAATACACTTATGACACACATGAAACATGAATTGCTTACACTATGAAATAAAAAAAATTTCCATTTTCACTTAAGCCAACAACCAACATGGTGGATCCGCATAAACTGCCGCGTAAAAAAGCAAGTCATAAAACAAATCATTATTTCCATAAATTTAGGTTCATACCCTCACAAGGTTAGTAATGTGATTAAAAAAGTCATTTAAATTCTACTTCACTTGAAAAATAGGTAGTTTATCTCATGTACTACTAGAAACGTACATGCCTATCTCGGCGCGGAGTAATACATTTTGCGACGACACGATGCGAAAAAGAAACAAGGTTGCGATGTCAATAATAGATGGTCGAACAAAGGCAACAATCAGAAAAGGACTGTGACGATTTCCTTTGCAGATGGTAATTTGATTGGTATGTTTGTGGAATATGTCTGTCCAGTCGATTGTTGTAAATACCTATGTGTATGTATGCATTTGTGCTGAAAATGTAAACCACCACATCAGCCGTTCGAAACAAAGATGGCGGTCAACTTTTGGTATGACAAAACAGGTGTTTTGTACGATATCTTGAATTTAATTGTATTTTGATATTAAATATGGGTAGCATCAGCTACAATAGTGTGATAATCATGCATATACATGTATATTGAATACCAAATGTTTATTCTGTGCCTGTTACACTTTTTTAGCATTTCCTGTGATAAATGATCAAACATTTCATATTTCTAAAAGATAGCTATACTGTATTCAAATTACATATGAAACATTTAAATCTGTGTTAAGTGGTTGTTATTAATATTTTGACGCCATACCTTTTTAACAACCAGAAATACATGTTTTGCCAATTTATTTTGGGGTGGGGGATCTGTGAGAAAATGGTATAAACATGAACCTTAACCGGACAATATTAGGACATAAAGATGGAAAAATAGAGTTACATAAAGCTTAATACTAATATTACTTACCACAGTCTGTAACCTGGGCCTGTAACTACTGAGGTAGGCCGCTGTGAGTACTAAAACCCACGACAGGTGGCTATGGCGCGTCCACACATGTTTACCTGTGTCCTGAGCTCGTGCACTTCCGCTCCCTACCTATTTACTTACCGTAACATCCGTCAACTGACCACGTGACTCGTAATAACAATAACACTGGTCATTCACAAATATATATATCTAAATACGATCAACCTAAACACCACGAGACAATACATGCGATCGTGACATATATCAAAGCTACATGTATATGACAGTACTGTATATCTGATACAGCTAATGTGGGAGAACACAGGTAAAAACCAGATAAGATGTATATGAAACAGACTATAACTGCTATCACAACATTATGTCTCTATATTTTTTTTAAAAAGTGGGAGAAAGGAGAAAACACGCTGTTGGTCACCATGCAGTGTCATCTATCTCTCACTTGTATTGATAAGCCCCCAGAGTCCCGGTCCCCACACAGGTGACGCCCTGTATATTATAATTACCTGGATAGACATATAGGAACCATTTATTACAGGTAACATGATGTAATAATGCTATAAATTTTGTATTTATATAAAAAGTTTTGATAAATTTTAGGGGGGATGAATATTTCATGGAGGGGATGAGTATTTAATGCAATAAATATTCATCAGGATGAGTATTTTATGCATAAAATATCCATCCGGATGAGTATTTTATGAGGATGGAAAATTTTATCGGACACCGATTGATGAAGACAAAACAAATATTATGGTCGCGATATAAGCCATTTCTGTGTGTGATATGAAGGGCAATGTTTTTGAGTATTCTTTACCACCCGAGTCTCCATGTTCGGATTTGACCAAGATTACAAGGAGGGGTCGTCGACGAAGCAGAAGACGCTTAACCTTCCGGAACACCTGGTCTTATTTTCATTTTAACTTTTTATCATTTTCCATTTCTTTTGTTCATATATTGTCTAGTTTACTCGATTTTGAAATCGAAGTATGGTTTGTTGACACGTCATTGTTTTTCTTGTTGTTGTTCCTTGTTAGATTCCTTTATCTGTTATTAATTTCTTATTGTTTTCAAACGTTACTTTATAAGAAAACCAGATGGATTTCAACGACTCATCTATCAATATGATCTTGTTTCTGAATCTCACTGCCTAAAAAGATATTATCAATTTTCTCTGTCTGAATCTGTCATGTTTTCATACAATAATAAGCCTTCTCTCAGGGCTCTTGAGTTTGAATCGCACTTTGTGTCCCTCGGTATTATCTTGTTTTCTGTCCCTGCAGCCCATTGCATGATCGTAAGAGCCGGCTAAATTATTAGTCAGATGCATGCGTGAAGTGTATGCGTGTTTGTTTTGGGAGGCTGCGATATGTTCGTGTTTGTCTCCTTGTGATTTCGCGGAACTGATGCCGACTTTATAGTGCTACCTCGCTGAAACATACTGCCGAAGACATCCAGCAGGACACCCCACCGGTCACATTATACTGAGAACGAGCGAACCAGTCGTCCAACTCCTAAATTGCTTAGCGTTAAACAAGCATCAGACCCGCTTCGGCTGCTGGATAAAATAAGATGTTTGAGATGTTCATGTTTTATCTGAGTTTGCTATGTTTAAAAGTTTGAGATCCAGTTTAGATTTGACATGAATTTGCGATATTTTAAAGTTTGAAAATAAGTCAACATGATTCACACTTTAAAAATCTATCAAACTATCGTTTGAAAATGTTATTAAATGTTTTGATCTACACTCTAAAAGAATAAATGTCATTTTAACCTATACATATTAACCTCTCCTTAACTTCCGGTTGGATATAACTGTAGCACAGTAGGGCCAGGACGCTTCCGTTGACTTGCTAGCTCAATCAGTTTAATATTTATCAAAGCCAAAGTACTGCCAGTTTCCAACACACTTATTTACTGTTTTGGCAGTGGTACGGGGATCCTTAAAAAAAATAAAAAAAAATAAAAGGCATCCAGCTCATTATTTTGAAAGTGTTTGACCAAAACCAACTCACCTTAAACAATAGATACATCCTAGATAGTATATCGTAATACAAGCATTGTATGTAGTGTGGATCCTGGTTAGTATGCGCCAGCAATGTTTAGATAATCTGGCAAATGTTCTAGATAATATAGTTTGAAAAGTTACACAGATGACCATGTATTATTGTTAACCTTTTTACTCATTAAGCGTTTTTTACATGATTAAAAAGAACAAAAAGAGATGTTTCACACATACGGGAGGAGCTATACCATATAAGGATAACAGTGTTTTTAATGTCCATGAAAGCTTCAATGTACATTAATAGAAACATAATTCTCATTTGTGTCGGCTGAAGGTATTTACTTCTAAAATGCTCTCGTTTGGGGATCCATAGGTCCAAGTTAGAAAATGTTTTATTTATAAAAAAAAACAATGATGTAAAGAATGAAAAGGACGTGTTTTACACAAAAAAGTCACCAAGGGAGGTCCTATTGTCCAATAGTAGATATATCCGTATTTTTTCCGTATGTATGTAATAAACAGAATAAAACATGCCTTTTTCCATATCACACCCAGTACCAACCCTCAACCAATATCAGCCCTAGGGCCCAAAACACACACGCATGCATCTTGCACACAGTGGAGGCCGTCCTTAAATGACCATAGCTGTTGATAGGACGTTAAACAATAATAAACCAAACCAAACCAATCCGAGGGCCCACTGGGTGTGATATGGAAAAATGCATGTATTATTCTCTGTATATCTCGCACCATCAAACGACCGTGATGTGCCAGGTCTGCTCACAGCCAGCAGACTTTCTCTAACATTGACAAGTGTTTCTCTTACACGTCTCTTTCTGTCGTATTCTTCCTAAAACACATACTTATTCGTAAAACATCTTTTCCATGGCACTAATTTGTAAATTTAATTGTTTTTGTCGTTCTGCAATGTTTAAAAAAGCAAGAAATTTAAAATAATAATTGTTTTGCCCAAACAATTCACCGTTTGAATTGAAAATTATGAGATAGCTTTACAATATTTCCCGCTAGTAAACATCACTCTAAATTTAACCATATTGTGTACATTGTAGCTTTCAAAAAATAAGAAAAATGCATTTCGAATATTTCGATGGTATGAGAATAATTTATTCTTATAAATTCAAGTTACAGCGAGAGATTGGCGGGATCTGCGTACAATTTGGAACCGTTTAATCCGTACGAAATAACACTGAATACAGCGTTGTCGTCGGTATGTTGGACAGAACAGTTCTGGTGGTTGTTGCAGGTGGCCGATATAAAACTATATTCCTCACCGACAGCATCAGGAAATGTCACTGACCCAATGCGAGGCAAGTCCGTCCCGTCCTCGGAGCGAAGCTGTAGACCGGATTCGTCACTAGTCCGAATACTTACTACAATGTAGTTCTCAAAGGTTGTGGTTCCATAAGGGGGCGAGACCAGAACAGGGTCGTGTGCAAATTGGTCTATGGAAGGAACTAGGGTCATCCCTATGGATGATTTTATCGGAAACAGTAAGACAAGTACAGGTTGATCACTGGAAATGGCGTACGGCTGTGAAGAATTCGTGTCTATATCTATAAAATTTGTTGAGATTGTATACGTTTTGTTAGAGCCTAAAGAATTGACATTGACATTTGTAGTATTTACTGATGAGACAACCCTGACTATTCCTCTGGTAGTGTTCATGATAGGTGGTACCATGAACTTGGAGCCCCATGTGGACACAGGAGGCAGATACTCCACAAGATGGTTACAGTGGTCCTGTCCATTAGAGCAAAGATTACCAGACACTACCGCTACGGGCTTATTGCTTACAATACGCGTACCTGTCAAGTCCTGACTTTTGGAGTTAGTCTCGATATAGAACGTGTCCAGTTTGTCCAGTACGACGGTGATTTTGTCTCCCTCCCTGTGATACTGACCGGGAACAGAAACACCCGAAGTACTGAGTGTAATGTTGACCTCCGTGTTGTCGTACGGTGCCCCTACAGCAAAGGAAGACCCTGTAAGAGGCTCCGGTATGGAAGTTCCCACGATATAGGATGTGCCAAGTGTTTCTATAGGTAAAGCATGGTACCCTTCGAATAAGCCAAGGTCATTTGAATTGAATGCCGTAACGGATATGGGTGTGTCAGAGGTCAAAATTATCCCTTTACTTGTCTTGCCGTTGCTTCTCATTGTCAAGTTAGCATCTATGTCAATCTGATTGGCTGGACCAGAGACACGTGTTGTTTTGGTTACATCACACGTCGTTACCCGCAATTGGCTATTAGGGGACTCGAATGTTACAATAGCACTCAATTTTACAAGAGAGTAGATATACGAGTAATTTTCCATGAACATCAGGAAAACCTCTTTTCCTTTAAAACCTGAAACAAAATATAACACTTAGTGTTATTATCATGATACTCTTTTTATACAAACAGTATAAAAACAATGTCTAACCCTGTAGACTTTTCTTATTCTAAACTAAATCTTCATTCCTTTTTATCATTATCTTTTTGACGACACAAATGTGTACATTAAATTTACCATATTTTTTTATTTAAAAATTGTAAACTGTTTTCATTTCATAGACAAGGAAGTGGGCGTATACAAAATTCCACTATGCAATGTGTTACTCCCATTCAAACATATTGCGTTGCTAATGACTATTAGTTATGTAAATGTTTATTTACTGTGATGAACTGGCGTCATTGTTGTCTTCGCTATTGTTGATGGTACAACCGATGGGGTAACAGTTCCTGTAAACAAAACGGAAATGTAAGGTTTTACATTTTTTGTTCCTCAAACCCTACGGGTTTGCTTTCATTTTACTTTGTTTAACGTCCTATTAATAGCTAACATATCAGGACGTGCCTCCATGTGCGTGCATGTGTTTGTGTGCTGGAGACGGGATGCGTTGGTGTAATTGTCTAATTTTGATAGCGCGGATCTGATGCTGACTTCATATTGCTATCTCACTGAAATACCATACCAAAGGCACCTAGCACAGCAATCCGCCCGGTCACAGTATACTGACAACGGGTGAACCAGTTGTTGCCATTTCTCTAAATACTGAACGTTAACCAAGCGAATAACAACTACCATGAAGGACTTAGGAATGCCCCGGCCTGGGGATGAAACCCAACGCCTTCCTCACCTACTTAGCTTAGTCTGTAATTAGGCATTAAGGCTGATTCTTTCATTCAAATAGTTTTCCTACATCATAACACATCCATCTCTTTGTAACCAAAACTTAGTCCTTCTTTTATCCGGCCTTTCAAGCCGAACTGCTCCCTATGTTTCCCCCTTAAAATATGCGCACCGGTGCAGTAAATTCCCAACTTGCCTTTCTGTTCATATCGATATAAAGTCATTTCCATGACCTCAATCACTGTCTTATTTTCTATATTTTTGGCTTCCTGTCTTTTCAAGTTTCGGAACAAATAGTTTCATAAAGCGAAAGCTTTGTGTGTGGTTTACACAAGGGAAGGGAAAGAACGACAATGCTTTTACGACTTGTACATCAGAGGTCATTGACACCGTATATAAAACGGTTTTTCACAGTAGGAATTACTTGTATAACTTCAGAACAAATCCTGTGCAATTGGCACGTGATTCGCCAAAGGTCAAGGTCACTTACTAAATATGGAATGTTCTTGTCCGGGTTATTACTTTACACAACTGATCACACAAAGCACGGACTTATTTGTCTGAGGGAGAAGAAAAACTCCATTGTCTCAGGGCATGGCCTGCAAAAGTTCAATGTCACAATTACTACCAATATAATTATACATTACATTACAAATTATCTACCCGGATGCTGTGTATTACCCAGAAGAACAGGAAGAGTCGTAGTAAGTTTTGGTATAAAGCGTCAAATGTCGATGTCACGGTTTTATAAAAAAAAACTGTAAAGGTCGACAAAGGTCAAGGTCACTCATAAATGAAAATGTTTTCTCAATTTAACTTCAAAACAAATTATTTCACAAAGCTCACGTTTTGGTACGTTAGTTTCAGAAGCGGAAGAAAGAACCCCAACATTTTAGAATGGTTTTCCAAAGGTCAATGTTACTATCAGAAAGAACAACTCGTTCTAGATGTAAATTTATTATATATCAACAAACAACAGTTGCGAAGGTTTTTTTATGGACATATTGCCCCTGGTTGCTTTATTGCCATTATAAAAACATTTTGAGATGCCGCCTGAATACGATTGGTCTGCTTGATCTCCTTGACTGTCCCTCCCAAATCGAAAACAAGATTGATTATTTTTACCAGCGACACCGAAAGTCAACATTCTTTAAGTTACCTTTAGTGTATTTTAAACTGTTCTATCGTTGTCGCTAGAAACAGTATTTTATAAAAAGTTCCCAAGGTGCAATACGCTACTCTTGTACGATACATACGGAGCACTGATTTAAATCATAGCATGAAGCATATACCAAGTGTTATATTCACCTATTTGTATTGGCGCCAGTGGTAAAGACGGCATTGTTGACGGTGCTGGTGACGTGGTGACTAGAGTCATAAGACAAAGAATATATAAATCCCATACTTCAGTATGTTTCATCAAAGACATTTAAACTTAAAACAAGTTATTGAAAAGAGACTAAAATGTCCATTGTTCAACTTCACGATCTAATATAAAGCATAGTAAGTCTTAAATCTTTTTGGAAAAACTGAAAATCCCTTCTATTCAAACTGTTCGTCTGTCCCCGAAGATATAAATAAACAAATTCATATTCCATATCCAAATTGGAGTGTCGTTTGCTTTTTTGTTTGTTTTATGTCATGTCGTTTAACATTTTATATCAACCATTTATTGGTCCAACTAACCTCTCCAGTGTTTATCATTATTATTATTTTAAGTAATGTAGGCTTTTGATATGAAGTCATTGATTAAACATTTTTATTGAAATGAACAGCTGACCAAACAGTGACAATCTTTCATGCTTGAATATTGTATTCGTCCCTTGTTCCGTATTTCCTTACTTATTTATTTTTTTCCGTCCTTTTTTATGCAATTATTCTATTATTCTGTATTGAGTATTCATTTCATAAACTTGACTAAAAAATATCGGTCTACAAATTGTAAACCGTTTTATAGTAGTGATACCAAAATAGTAGCTTATTATTTGATCCTAATGAGAAGCGCAGATGTATTCACAATGACCTTTTGGGCCTAGTGTTGTCGTCGTCGGAATAGCCGATGATACAATCGATGTGGCAACACTACCTAGAAAGAAAAAAATCAAAAATGTTTCCCTGTAGTGGAAAAACATAAAACATTTCTATATATACGACCTATATCAAGTCTTTGACCAGTTGCTCTACCAAATAACATATGTATACAGTAATCATAGAGTATTTAACACACAATGAATAATAAAGCCGAAATAATATATTGAAACTAAAGAACCTGTCTATTGGTAATTATTTTACATCGATACTTCCTAGTAACGATGTATCCACGACTTAAACACGGCAGAAAACATTGCAACTAAACTTACACTACACATTCGACAAAGTGAAGCATAGTGAAGGATGGTAGAAATGAGGTTAGAAATAGAAAAGTACCGTAGTCGAGACTGTTTTGTTTTCGGATACTTTAGTCTGCCCATTTCACTATTGGGCCGTTTTCGTTACAACGGTTGAACCGGTCGGAACACAGTTGTTCGTTTATTGAATAAGGTCGGACCTAGTAATCTGATGCTGCTTTCAGGCGAGCCTTGACAAAGCCTTACAAGGCCTGCATAAACATTTGCAGATCCGTCAGGATTTATACCCAAAATTGTTACATTTAATAACGGATGTTCCGCATTAACGAACAGGCCACAGGGGTTTCCATAACCTCGCTCTGATACTGTTATTCCGTCTTTGCGTATTGCAAAATTATCCTCTCTTGTGAGCAGGTATTGAATGTTACGTCATTGGTTTGTGTGAGAAAATTACCTCGATTTCTCAAAAATTGATGACGTTACTCTCACAAACAAATGACGTAACAATCAATACCTGCTCATAAGAGAAGATAACTCTGCAAAACGCAAAGACATAATATCATGGCGTTATAAACACCAAATTATTCGTCACACACAATAACAGAGATGCCATTGTGTACGGAGATAAAACTTCCACACAATTTACAAAATGTTTGACTAATTAAACGAATACATGAATTGCATGTACATTATACTCGTTACATATCATACTTACTACACAAATTACATGTTTTGAGGCATCCCATCCTTCTAGCTGCCTCGGTGTCGCTACAAATTTTCAGATGGTCTTTGTTGAAAGGACAATCAGGGGTCTTGTCTTCACATATCACTGGATTGGACGAAGCATTACTGCCTGGACAAAAATAGAATTAAGACCTTATTATTAAAACACTATCGTAACGTTAGCTTGAAATTTTCACTCGAACTTAAATTATTATAAACAAATCATGACACAAGGCTTGCTAAAATCGATGTAACGAAGCCTATTGGTGTCACTCATAAAAAAATAAAATATTGAAAAGTCGTAATAACGCTAAATAAATACGTTCTTAAGCGAAAAAACACGTTCATTAGCAAATAATCACGTTATAAAGCGCACAAATGCATACTAACGTGAATCAACACGTTATTACGCAAACGTAAAGTCGTTTTAATGCGCAAATATACGTAATAATGTACAATAAACACGTTATTACGAGAAAATAAACACATTATAAAGACAAATAAACACGTTATTACGTAAAACAAATACGTTATAATGCGAAATTAACACGCAATTACGGTTAATAATCACGTTATAAAGCGTACAAATGCGTACTTACGCGAATAAACACATTATTACGCAAAACTCAAATAACTCGTAACAACGCGAAAAAAACGTAATAACGTAAAATTACACATTACTACGCAAAAGTAAAAGTCGGAATAACGTGAAAGAGTACGTAATTACGTAAAAAAAACGTGATAATGCGAAAGTAAAAGTAATAATGCACAAAAAAACACGCAATAACGTGTTTAAACTGCGTATTTATAGACGACACATTGAGTTTTCATCTCGTTGTGAACTTGAAATCACAATGTTTATCAACCAACGCATCAAACTGTTTTTCCAATTAGGACTTAACAACACAGAAATTCTAGTTGTATTAGCTCATTATTCAGATAGAGTTATGCTTCGCATTTCTACTCTGATAAGAAAGTTGAAGTCAATAGGATCATTCAGGAGGAAGAATTATTCAGGTCTGCTTGACGGTGTGTGTTTCTTGACGAGAAATGGGCGAATCTTGACGAGAAACATGGAATAATCATGTCATTCAGTCAAAAACTAACGGTGTTGCTGGTGGCAATTCTTATGTGTACATTACCCAAGCTGTGTCATGCAGAAGATCAGCTTTGTCTTGTGAATAATAATGATATCACGATCTGCGCAGAGGAAACCATACCAAAAACTTTAACTTGTGCAGACGAGACAGTTGTTGAGCTGTGTACATTGCTGATGGAGGAGAACAACTTGTCAAAGCCTACCGATTCAAATGGAGCAAGACATCTCTTCATACGATTACGGCAATTGATTCGAATCGTATAAGATACTCTCTCATCATACACTGAATAATAGGTATCAGAAGTCAGCCTTTTTTTATGGAATTTAAGGAAAATTAGAACTATTTGTAAATACATCTACGTTTCTGGTTGGATTTGGACACCAATTGAACTTGACGCTAATGAATACCAGGCAACATAATTCGAATCTAATTTCGAGTATATCTCAAGTTTTAGATACGTACAGTATGTTATGGAATTTCTAAAAGCAAAATACAAACATTTTGAAAAATATATTTCACAGTCTATTAAACATCAGTCATCAGCGGCTAAGTATAAAGAATATCCTTGACTCAAAAACTATCTCAATTTTAACATTCAGCATATACATGCAAATTTTCAACTTATGTCCATGATCCAAACATTGAACTCGAATATTGGCATGATCTGATCTGCGGATAGCTCTCGTAGGTCCTAGAACTCTCCAGAAGGCAGGAACACGTGTATGCCACTGGTATTCTTGCTAGGCCGATGACATTCACAAATGCAACCTTGACCTCCTTCTTTAATACCAGGTCACACCCAGTGCAGAATCTAACGAACTTGCGTAGGACACTATCGCTGAGTTTCCTTATGAACCGTTTGAGGTGGTTTGTGAAGGATTGCTCTTCTTCAGATATACGGTCTGGGGCCTTGTTCACAAGCTTTGGTGTCGGAATGAGGTCGGTGTAAAGATTATTCAGACGTTCTTCAGAAATGCCAAGCTGCTTCAGAAGAGGCTGGAAACAGTCAGCAACGAACATGGGTGCTTGAATAATTTCTTTGTGAGCGATTTCCGTCAGAAACCTTGGAACTGTTTAGTACAGTAGAAAATGTCTTCGATTCATGAATTTCAAGTATATCTAGGTCGTCTTGGTCAACTGATTCGAAGTCGGTCAGAGCCTCCTCATCCCGCGTAATGACTTCGTTGAACGCATTCAAAATAGGAGATGAAACACTATCATTCAGACAAAGCTGGCGGAGAGGTAAGCACAACTGTATGGGAAAGTATCTACATGTCTTCCATCCAAATACTATGGTATTTGCAATCGACTGCCATTGTTTCTCACCGAAGTCATATCGATGAAATGGGATCCGGAACTGTGTACCAAGCGTACAGTGGTCGTAGAATACATTCTAAAAATCTGACAAATCATCTCTGATCACACAACCGCCATCTTCTACGGCCTCTAGACTGCCGTCTGGTATCAGTATCTGGATAGACAAGATGTCTATGGTAGGATCAATTGCAATGAATGTATCGATAACCTCTTTTAACAATTGACCACGATGGAGTTTTAACGTAACCTCCATTACAGTTGGAGAAAACAACGCTGGATCAGGGAGGAAATCATCATCAGCATCTGGTATTGGTAGTCCCGCAAGCTCCATCGCAGGAGAAAGGATGTCCCCGTTACTCACATTCTTGCCTATCTGGTAGCATCGATTCAGAGTCTTCGGATGTTGCCCCAGATACGGCTGTGGAGGACTCCGGCAATTCTTCAAAATTTGAGTATCGTCGCTGCTTTTACTTGATGCCGCCAAGTAAAATCGTAAAAGCGACATCTTTGTCTTCTCGTACATGGCTGCTAATGTTATGTCGTCTTCAGTTGGGCGGTCTGAAAAATCCCATAGATCAAAGGGTCCTTTTGAAGACACACCTCTGGAAAAGAACAATTTGATAGCCTCTTCCATTATTTCTTACCGAATTTTCGATTTCTGTGTTTCTAGTGCCTCATCCGTTTTTCTTCCCTATCTGGATGCTACGCTGGTGGGCTTTGTATATCCATCCGATTTTTATTTACCGAATACCGAATTGGCGATGATGATTCCTCATTTCTTTTTCTTCTGTTTCTGCAGCATTGCCTTACGCCGTATGAAGTTTTTGTCGTAGAACAGTAAAAAGTCTTGGGGGGGGGGGGGGTGTTCTTTTCGTGTTTTTCCTGATTACGCAAATGAGCTCTTAATCATAAACGATCGCCATGGTGAGGTAAGTAGAATGATAGTTCGTCGTCACTGATATGGTTTACAAGATCTTGGGTTATCTGAAATTCTGAAATACCAAAAAATGGCAAATAAGAAGGTTGTCATGACAAAACACACAAAGGGTTATCAATACTGCGTATCTATGCTTGCGTTGTAATGTCCACTGCTTAAGTCATATCATATGCGACCTCCGCTCAAAAGCTCAAAAGATATGTCATTTGTTAACAATTTAGTATATACTAATATTCCAGACGAGTTAATAATATTACGTACTTATGTTCAAAACTTACGGAATACATACTTGACCATATAACTACTAGGTCATCTAACTTAAGGTCATGTGACATTTAGCAAAAGAGTTTTGTCAAATTTGAATTGTTTAACGTTCCAACTCATATCAATATTCAACGTTGACTGACCAAGTGTTATCTCTTAGGAAGAACATTTTCCAATGACATTAAACATTTTTGAATACCACAATTACACTCCTCGTGTGTCTGTACATTCTAGTTCAATAGGATAAATATATGTCTTTCCTTTCATCACATTGCCTCAGATTACAAAGAAAGCTATCTACTTCATACAACAGTCATTATTGTAGCGTCCTTGTGTTGTGTTATGAGGATGGCGGCGTGCTCAGAAATGATTATATCAAGAGTACCCAACTTCAACCTTTATAGTTCCTATATTCACCTCCACAAAATATACATTTCTTCCGGAAATCAACTTTTAGGGTAAAAGCATTTAATATATGTCATATACATACAGTGTTTTCATTTTCAGGTATGTATAATGATATTATCTACTAGCTCTTATCAATGTGAATAACGTATTTATTTTCGTTTTTTCTGTTCTTATTCACTTAATAGAACTTTTTAATTGTTTTCAGTAAGAAAATGTATAAACATATATATACAAGGCCGACCGATATGCCTTTCTGCCTTCCTGGGCTTCTTCGGGCGGACTTACAGAGGAAAGTGGTGTATTGAAATTAGGTTATGAAATGTTATATGTATATAAAGATAGATAAATGCTTTATGATTTGAAATATTTCATTATGAAAATTGAAATCAATAAGAAATAGAAATGTAGGTTTCGCCCGACAATATTTACAATGTAAGATACACGAGTACGAAATGTGACCTCGAACCTGCTGATCATGACTTTGCTCACATTGCTTTTTGTTTGATTCTAACCAACATTGCATCATACTCTCAAAGTATTTACTAGTTCCGTGTATAAATAAAAACCCGACCTTCTATATGCTAAGTCTATACATTGTGTGGTAATAATGAAAGTATACTCCCATTCCCTGCATATCTGTTCTTATATAAATAGTGTCGGTACTCGATGTCAAGGTCAAACAATTGAACATTGACCTTATGAACCTAATTTCACTATTGTTACACTCTACACCGTGACCACCTGACCTTCCCATCAAATCAGACATCTATGCATTAATTGGTAGCCAGGATATCGTCCGGAAATCTACGCCTACACTGTGTTTTAAAGTTCAGGCCATATTGAGGTTGAATTGAATAGATAGTATTATCTGACATATTTCTTGATTATAAAGTAAACTCACATCAAGTCTGAACTCTGTACATGAATTGGTAGTCGAGATATGCTTCGGAAACCTGTGTTACACTGTGTTTTAGTAGTTGAGATCAAGGTAAAAGGTCAAATAGATATCACAGTGATATCATCAGAGGATGTAACACAATGCCTTCCTATGATGTACCATGTGATGCCCATTCATAAAACAGTGGCTGCGATATGCTCGGGAAATCATTATTTTAGTACTTAAGGTCGATTTCAAAGGTTAAATTGAGGCAACAGTGACCTCATTCTTGGATATGACAATCTGCCTTTTCATGATGCACATATATACAAAGTTTGATACCTGTTCATGAAACAGTGGCAAAGATATACTCCGGAGATCACTATTTCAGTACTTGAGGTCAAGGTGAATAGCAAAATCGGGGTCACAGTGACCTCATTTCAGAATGTGGCACACCACCGTCCCATTATGTACCTATATACGAACTTTGATGCCCATTTGAGGAACAATGGCCGAGATATATTCCGGAAACCACTGTTCCAGCATATTGAGGTAAAGTTCAAAGGTCAAATTGAGGTCACAGTGACCTCATTTTAGGATGCGAAACATCTACTTCCCATGTTGTACCTATGTAAAAACTTTGATGCCCATATATGAAACAATGGCTGATATATCTCCCGGAAAATACAGTGAGGACGGACGGACAAAGCGAATACTATATATAAATTAAATTTCCTTTGCGGCGAGGGTATGAAAATCTACAAATTAAGGAATATATAACAATTTTTTACTTTACATGCCACTACTGGCAATAACCTTTGGTCACGTCCTGGTGACGTGTAATTTGAACAACTCACCCAAAATATATAATAATAATAATACTAAATATATCTTACCTTTTTATCCAGCCTCCACCGAAATCTTCTTAATGAACAATATCAACTCTGCATTCATTGTGCTTCTCGACCAAGTATGAAAAGGGAGCTTTATATACAATCTTATCGTATGTAATACTCTCATTTTCAATTTGACGTTATTACAACTTTTACTTTCGGGTTAAAACAAGTGGTGTTTTTTACGTTATTATGTATTTTTTCACATTATTACGTGTTTTTTTCACGTTATTACGTGTTTTTTTCACATGATTGCGTGTTTATACTACATTATTACGGGTTTTTCACGATATTACGCGTCTATATTAAGTTATTATGTGTTTTTTCACGTTTATTACGCGTCTATATTACGTTATTACGTGTTTTTACATGTTATTACGTGTTTTATTACATGCTTTTTCACGTTATTACGACTTTTACTTTCACATTGTTGCGTGTTAATATTACGTTATAACGTGTTTTTTCACATTATTACGAGTTTTACTTTCGCTTTATAACGTGCTTTTTCGCGTTATAACGTGTTTGTTTGCGTTATTACGCATTTGTGCGTGTTATTACGTGATTATTTTCGAATTCACGTGCTTTTTCGCGTAACATTGTGTTTGTTTCGCGCTATTACGACTTTACAGTGCTTTATTTTCTTATAAGTGACCCTAATAGGCTTTCGTATAATGCCGCAGATATGGTATCCGTGACAGGAACATTTATCTTTGCCCCCAGTCTATTGAGGGTATGCATATCACCATTAGTAGAGGGTTGGTGTAAACTTTTTATATTCAGTCGAGGGGAGTTGTGCATTCCAGGTTACTGCCAAATTCACCAACAATTATACGTTTTCATGTGAATGATATTTACATTTTGCGTTACAGAGGTCACCGGAACAACAGGAGAAGCAGTTATGACGTGTAGTAGATCGTCTTCCAACTGCTACTGGGTTATATACAGGAGGAGAAGCACATTCCTGTACAGGGAATACAAATATTTCTATCCAATAAGATAAATGGTATAATCAAACTCAAATGCCAAATATATTCTATCTACTTATATTAAATCAATATATAGGTTTATGTCGACCATTTGATATCTTATAGTAGTAATAATAATTTGAGGTTCTCTTATACCGCTTTATCACAACCTCGTTCGTAGGTCGTCTCAAAGCGGTTCACAAATTATTATCCATGGTTATATGACATTTGCAACTAGCCAATATCTTTCTCAAATCCTTAGGGAGCATACAGCCAGTGCTGCCATTTCGGCGCTCACAACTAGCATTCAACAATTCTTGCACTGCCCAATCACCTTCTCATTTACAACTGAGCAGACTGGAACAAGCGAAGTAAAGTATATTGTTCAAAGATACAACACAGTGCCGTGACGTGACTCGAACCCGCAATCCTTCGGTCACGATCCCGGCGTCCTACCACTAGACTACTGTGTCTCTTAAACAACTCTACTATATTAGCCGGATAAGATATTTGTAAATAAGCATATTCCTAATGAAAACCATGTACATTTTTTGGGGGATTTATAAATTATAAATCAACGTTTAAAGTTTTAGCTAACGTTTTACTCTGTCGGGTCACTGTCTCGTTATGTTAATTATTAAATATATCGTGCACTTAACATATATCGTTATGTTCTGTCAATAAAGCTGTCTTGGCAGGGATTATTATCATTTATCTAAACTACATACTGTTCATAGCGCTATTATATGCAAGATCTTTTCTGTCAATTAAATATCCCTCTGAACTAAACTGATTTGTAATGTAAACGTGATCAAAAGTATGAAAAAAGTGTGTTAACATTTTAAATTATTCGTTTTGACCATCCACATTTCCTGAATAACTATAGTGGTAAAGTTTAGGATCGGCTGTGGGTAAATCTGTAGTTATACTCATGGAATTTTTAATTTCAATTTTTGGTTGTGTGTGTGTTTGTGTGTCTAAATATCAAAATTTCTGTTAAATTTATCACGTGATGTGATTTATATAGAATACATCTGTTTAGAATTACTGCAACAATATTTTGCCAGCAACATTACATAACAGGCCAGGGTTGCACTCTTGTTTGCTTTGTTACGAACGAAAAATATTTACGTAAAAAAGTCTCTTTTGTGTAAAATACTCACTGAATCCCGCAAACAGCCTGTTTTGTAGAATACATCTCCGAACTGGTGTGTCTCTTCAACGTGACAAAACTGTTGAACAAAATAATGATTACTTAAGTTTAGAACACTCACACGTGCTCTAATCAATGTAGAACAAAGGCATATGGCTGCTGTTTATATTTGTTTAATTACTTGCCGTTTACCGAACAATTGAACAATTCTTTTACTCACATCAACAAGTTTGTCTTTTCGAATTCAAACTTATATTTATAATAATTCTTACCTCTCCTTCAAGACAAACGGATATGACGTCACAAAAAGCAGGATCCCTTGACTGGGGACAATCTAAGCATACGGGACCTCTTCTGCTCGGAAATCCTATACAGATACAATGTATAAGTATTCTTATGTGTAGTAAAAAATGTTCACTTGTTCGTCTAAGCTTTATTGCCCTCGCGATAGCTAGGGTCATTCAACGAATGGTGTCTAAGGAGAAACCGCTGGAAAGAAAGATTGGTCGAGTGGTTAACACTCCGGCCTTCCAAGCAGGCGGCCGGGGTTCGATCCCCGAAGTCGCCGTACGCATAGAATATTAGAGAAAAGTGTTTTTCTCCTGCCCACACAACTTCAACAACCCAGGTGGAGTATAAAATGGTCTGGGGTGGGTTTTGCAGTATCTGTGCTGTAGCATTCAAGTGAGGTGGCACTATAAATGATACCGTTGGAAGCACGGTCCCACTACAAACAGAACACAATACATCTCCAGCACACATACAGGCATACACACATTGGGAGATATTATCCAGGTGGCATATGACTAGTAGTTAGCGCATGATAAGGCAGCTCCTGCAAATTCCTCAATATTGTATTGATTAATATATATGCTTATTATATTGACTGTATAAAATTGTATATCTATGTACTGTAAAGCGCTTTAGAGTGGTTTATGTTAGCTAGATAGGGCGCTATATCAAATGTTGTATATTATTAGTAGTAGTAGTAGGAACGTGAAAAAATAGAGATACCAGGTGTTGCAGATGGTTTTTGGTAGAAATGTGTGAAAAGAAAATAATTGAGAGGATTTTCAATAAGAAAGATAAGTATGACGTAGATAAGCCAATAGTATAACTTATTTTAACCCTTTCACCACTATAGACCCTAATAGACTCATCCAGATCAATGCATGGAAGAGTTTACTATAGTTACATAGGGGTGACAGGGTTAAGGGACAATGAATTTATTTTCCAGTGGTTTGCTATTTGATAATGTTATAACGTTCGTCCACACTTGTTTCTTCAAATATTATTTGGGTAGCTTCATTGCTCTTAGTGCTGGTTTGGAATTGCGTTTTAAGTCAAAATGTCAAAAGCCAAAACCGCTATCGTTATAAAATGAAAAATCAACTTCAGCTCTAAAAGACTATTGCCCAGTATGACTTACCGTCCGTACCACACCCGGCTGCGTTACACAAGTCACTATGGCAACACTCTGTACATAAAGACTCGACGTGTTTACCTATGGTGCCTGCCTTCCGGGCTGTGTTGCTAAAGGAGCACCTCTTTAAGTACAAAAAACCCAGACTTAAACACAATAATAACAACTGTCCGTATCATAATGATCGAACGTAGAAATATATAAAACATTTAATGCAGAATGACCGTCATATTTGGTAAATTGAACTAAAGGTAATAGCTGATCATTCAGAAATATAGTAATTGTATTTTTAACGGCCCATCAACACAAACGAAGCCATTATGAACAATAAAAAAGTAAATGAAACATTAAAAGGAAATGACGTCAAACGAATGAAAAGGTAAACAGACAACAGCTAGCTATGGTTGGTTATGCCTTTTTGAACAGACCAACAATTTTAGATATTTTAGAATTGAAGAGATAATAACTGTTTCAGAAAGAAAACTACGGGCCAACAATATACTGTTTATTTAGATTAATTATGAAAAATCGCGATATACACGTTTTACCTTCATATTTTATTTGCTGTTTGTTTATTAAATCGTATTTATCTATTGTATATATTTATTTAAGAACACTTGGTAACATTCTCTCCATTAGAATACTGGTACAGTTACCTGTGCGGACATACAGCCGAGGTCATACAGGTATTCTCCGTTCTCGTTCCTGTAAGCTTGAGTCACACAACTCTGGAAGAGAATGGGATTATTTTCTGTCAAATTCCTCTCAATTATGAAAAACGGTTTTAGATAAGATAAAGACAGTAGTTACGTAAAGCTAGTAGTAATAACCAGGTTCAAAGGGTCAAATTATACAGATGTGATTATCTCTTGATTCAATGCAGAAATTTGTATAAAACGAACACCTACAGCACCACAACGTAAGTTAAATTGACATTAAAATGACCAGAGGGCCCTGGTTCAAATCCTGATCTGACCCCATTTCATTTTTACACTAAAGACAACGTTGTTGTTAATATCTAGTTCATTTTTTCATAAACATTCCACAATATATGTTTTTTTTAGAGATGATTTATTAAAAGTAATGTCATACTAGGAAATATCCAATTGTATAGTAACAATGTTTGGCAGTGGTAAGAAAATCCTTAACTTTCATTATTGATACTTCAGGTCAAAATTGTCATGAAAAACATCAGATATGAAAAAATGCCCGTAAAAATATTTCAAAAAACAATACATGAAGAACCATTTAAGAGATGTTAAAATGTCTTTTGTTTTAGTTTCCAAATTTGGTCTGAAGCTACTTATATGTCAGTTTCATATAACAAAAGAAACAGGTGAGCGAAACAGGCCCTCTGGCCCTCTTGTTTCGTTTAACGTCCTATAAGCAGTTAAGGTAATTTAAGGACGTGCCTTCATGTGTGTAATGTATGCATGCGTGTGTGTATGAGTGAGTGCTGGAGGCAGGGTATGTTGGTGTAATACCTCCTTGCGATAGTACGGATCTGATGTCGACTTTAAAGTGCTACCTAACTTAAATGCCATGCCGAAGGCAACAAGCACAGTATTCAAACTGGTCACATTTTACCGACAACGGATAAACCATTTGTTGTCATTACCTTAAATGCTGAAAGTTAAGCAGAGTATAACCACTATCATTTTTAAGAGCTTTGGTATGTCCAAGCCTGGGGGCAAAACTCATTGCTTACCCCACTTTGGCGAACACTCAACACAAAGGCCAAAAGTGAGGAATTGCTGCTAGGAGGCTTTCCCCGATTAAGTCAGAGACATGATTCTTACTTTTTCCTAAGGGCGCAAGAGACAAGGCCATATTAACACATAGTATCATTTTCTCTACTTACGTCACCATCTGGACAGTGTTTGATAACAGAGCAGTGACGTGGTTGTATGACGTCATCACAACTCAAACATCGGATAGCGGTGGTATCTGTCAAGAGGTGATGCCAAAACGTAATGTGGTTTTGAGATACGAGAACAAAGTAACAGCATACCTCTCATGGAAGGCAAAGATAAACAATAAGCTTATCAGGAAGGTATTGCTGTTTATGTCAAAATTATACAATGTTCATATGTATTACAAACACACAAAATAGAAGCTGGTACGAAATAGATTGTGTAGCGTGTTGATATAGTACCATTTACAAAATAAATCTATTACATTTTTGCCAGTGAAATATTGGATTCTATCAACTTGAAAAAACTGATAACTAGTATCAAACGTATTTACATAAATATACAATTAATAACATTTGTGTAAGCAATCATACCAGAAAATAGCAGAAAACGTCTGAATTGCGTTTAGTATCCCATGTAAAATGGCGCGCAGCCTTCTTGTCAAGCATGACATCATTATAATACGGCACTAATTATTAAGCCTCTGATTCCCGCCCTTTTTTAATGCATTACATTTTTCATGTTTTATGCTTTAAAAATGTAATTAATAGATAATTACTAGCACTTGTGAAAATTATCAAAATATCAGCAACACTCGTGAAATATATTTCTTATTACTGAAGACTGAAGACACCATTAAATACCCTCTATATATGGGGTCTAGAAAAATAAATTATTCCAAAAACAAAGCACAGAACATAAACATGGGCACAAGGCGTACACAAACGCCCCCCCCCCCCCCCCCCCCCCCCCCCCCCCCCCCCCCCCCNAGAATCGGGGATTGTTTTTTGTTTTCTTCCCTGTCTTCAGATGCTTAGACATTGAAGAAACCTGTAATAGACCTGCTGTACCCCAGAGCAGATATATTGTTGGAGGTGACATATGTAGGGCCCCCTGCAGAATTGGTTTAAATTTTTTTCGTGTTTAGAGTTTAATGTATAGATTTGCACTATTGCTGATAACCAGAATTTCCCTATCGCAAGCTGTATTATTGAGCCAAACAACAACAAAATGCATCGTCCTCGAGTAACAACGAGACCAAAGCATCTGTGTAGAACGCGTATAAAAACGTAATTGTAGCCTTGATAACAGATACGTTCATATATATACATTAAGTATTTGCTATAGAAATACATCATTAACACCAAAATAGAGCCAAAACCCATTAGATACACAAAACATGTACACAGGTAAAAATGCAACAGTACACCGAGGCTACTTACGTTGTAGGCTAACCAATAAGACCAGGAAAGCGGCGAGAAAAGTGTAGGTACCTATGAAATAATATAAACAACTTTTATCAGTTCGTTAAATCATAAACTCTTATTTTGGGTAACTCTGAACTGAATTATAAATGTGAATTAACCTTCCCTTTAAGATTTGTATATTTACTTGAACCTTTCCTCTCGTGTTTGCTTATTCAACACTGTATATGTAAAACCTCCCCTGATGTTGTTCATCTGAGCTACCCTTTAAGTGTTAACTTGCTTGTTTTTCAACACATTTCCGCTTAGGATTTTTATTTGTTTATAGGAACCTCCCCCGAAAGGCTTGTTGCTCTATATTTTATTCAGCTAACCCTTATGAAGTTTGTTTTGTTAAATTTGGGTTTGAACTTTCCCTCCATTGTTCATCAAAATTTAGCTCTGATGTTTTTTTTTCTTTTAATTCAGTTGTTTGTTTTGTTTAACTGTTATTTTGAACTTTCCCTCTGTTAATTTGCATATTCTTTTCTCTGTTATTTGTTTGTTCATCTGAACCTGATCGCTAAAGTTTGTTTGTGTTTATATGATCTTTGCCTCAGATGCTTTTTAATTTGTTAATTCATTTAAGATGAACTAGATAAAGATGCATGTTTGTTTATCTTAACCCCATCGTCCTGAATCTCACTTGTTTAACCTTACCTTTCTCCATGAGCTTGTTTATTTATCCTTACCTTCCTTCAGGAGCTTGTTTATTTATCCTTGAATTTCTCCATGAGCTTGTTTATTTATCCTCGACTTTCTTCAGGAGCGTGTTTATTTATCCTTACCTTTCTCCATGAGCTTGTTTATTTATCTTTACCTTTCTCCATGAGCTTGTTTATTTATCCTTACCTTTCTCCAGGAGCTTGTTTATTTATCCTGACTTTTTCTCCATGAGCTTGTTTATTTATCCTTACCTTTCTCCAGGAGCTTGTTTATTTATCCTTGACTTTCTCCAGGAGCTTTTTTATTTATCTTTACCTTCCTCCAGGAGCTTGTTTATTTATCCTTATCTTTCTCCATGAGCTTGTTTATTTATCCTTACCTTTCTCCAGGAGCTTGTTTATTTATCTTCACCTTTCTCCATGAGCCTGTTTATTTATCCTTACCTTTCTCCATGAGCTTGTTTATTTGTCTTTACCTTTCTCAATGATCTTGTTTATTTATCTTTACCTTTCTCCAGGAGCTTGTTTATTTATCTTTACCTTTCTCCAGGAGCTTGTTTATTTATACTTATCTTTCTCCAGAAGCTTGTTTATTTATCCTTACCTTTCTCCAATATCTTGTTTATTTATCCTTACCTTTCTCCATGAGCTTGTTTATTTGTCTTTACCTTTCTCCATGATCTTGTTTATTTATCTTTACCTTTCTCCAGGAGCTTGTTTATTTATCTTTACCTTTCTCCATGAGCTTGTTTATTTATCCTCGACTTTCTTCAGGAGCTTGTTTATTTATCCTTACCTTTCTCCATGAGCTTGTTTATTTGTCTTTACCTTTCTCCATGATCTTGTTTATTTATCCTTATCTTTCTCCATGATCTTGTTTATTTATCCTTATCTTTCTCCATGAGCTTGTTTATTTATCCATACCTTTTCCCATGAGCTTGTTTACTTATCCTTACCTTTCTCAATGAGCTTGTTTATTTATCCTTACCTTTCTCCAGGAGCTTGTTTATTTATCCTTACCTTTCTCCATGAGCTTGTTTATTTATCCTTATCTTTCTCCAGGAGCTTGTTTATTTATCCTTATCTTTCTCCATGAGCTTGTTTATTTATCCTTACCTTTCTTCAGGAGCTTGTTTATTTATCCTTACCTTTCTCCATGAGCTTGTTTATTTATCCTTGACTTTCTTCAGGAGCTTGTTTATTTATCCTTACCTTTCTCCATGATCTTGTTTATTTATCCTTACCTTTTGCCATGAGCTTGTTTATTTATCCTTATCTTATTCCAGGAGCTTGTTTATTTATCCTTGCCTTTCTCCAGGAGCTTGTTTATATATCTTCATCTTTTTTAAGAACTTGTTTGTTTAACCTGACCTTTCCCCATGAGCTTGTTTATTTACCTTAACCTTTCTCCATGATCTTGTTTATTTTTCTTTACCTTTCTCCATGATCTTGTTTATTTATCCTTACCTTTCTCCATGAGCTTGTTTATTTATTCTTACCGTTCTCCAGGAGCTTGTTTATTTATCTTTACCTTTCACCATGAGCTTGTTTATTTATCCTTACCTTTCTCCATGAGCTTGTTTATTTAGCCAAACCTTTCTCCAGGAGCTTGTTTACAAACAGGTTCCTTCTAAGAATGTTTCCTATGTGGATTTTTAAACTCACCTGCCCGAAGGGCAAATGAGCTTTATTCATGGTGCGGGGTCTATCGTCCGTCCGTCAATTTTTCCTTTAAACAACTTCTTCTAAAGAACGGATAGGCCTAGAGGCATGATATTTGGCTGAAAGCTTCGTTTGTAGGAGCCCGACAAAGTTTGAGAAAAAAATGACCTTGAACTACTTTCAAGGTCAAATGTGTCAAACTGAAAGATATAGAATCTTCATACTTGGCTGGTGGCTTATTTGGATAGAGCACGACATGGTTTGAAAGTGAACATGATCTTGACCTACTTTCATGGTCACAGCGGTCAACTATGTCAAATGCTTCAAACGACTTCTTCTGAAAAACTAAAAGATGTAGAATCTTCATATTTGGCTGGTGGTTTTCTGGATAGAGCCTGACAAAGTTTGAGAATGAAAACGACCTTGACCTACTTTCAAGGTCACAGGGGTCAAATATGTCAAACTTTTTAAAGACCTTATCTAAAGAACCGAAAGGTATATAATCTTTATATTTGGCTGTTGGCTTCCTGGGATAGAGCCAGACAAAGTTTGAGAATAAAAATGATCTTGATCTACTTACAAGGTCACAGGGGAAAATATGTAAAACACTTCAAAACTCTTCTGAGGAAGAACCAAAAAGCATAGAATCATATAATAATATTTGGCTGGTAGTTTCAACAGATGGTTTTGACAAAGTTTGCGAGTGAAATATTTGTAGTACAGTATAATATTTAATGAGAATGTTTCCCTATGACTGCTTAAATATTCAGGTGAACGATACAGGCTGTCTGGGCCTCTTGTGTAATATGATCCTTCTCTCTTATGAAGGTTGTTTTCCCACTGTTTTACTTGTTGATCAAAGTATTTCACTGAGATTCTTTTATTTAGACCAAGGTTTCAATCTGAAGTTGTTGTTTTCTCTTTATACGAACAATTATTTGTTTGCTTATTCAAAATATCCTATTAAGATCATTTGTTTATTCAAATGCTCCCACGGAAACTTGGTTGTTTTTCTTATTTTTTCTCTGAAGTTTGTTCGCTAATTTTGTTTATACAACTGACACTTTTATTCAAAACTTCTTCTTTTAACCTTCTGTCTGAAGGTCATTTGTTTATCTGAAACCTTCTCCCAACTTTTTTTGTATTTGTTTGGGTTTTACTCTGTCATACATTTACCATATAGTGATGAGGTCATTGATGTCTTTTCAAATCATCTAAAGTGTTGAAATATCACAAAGAAACAGCATATATGATCTGTATTACCAAAAATAGAAAATAGTATTCTTTAGGGAAGACGAACAATAAGGCGCTATGCTACGGGTGACTTAACCTGTTAAAAACATAGACACATGTGATAAACAGATTTACCCTTTCAATCCTATCTAACTTTAGTAGACTCTACCAGGCATTGATCTGGATGAGTCCATTATGGTCTACAGTGGTGAAAGAGTTAACATAAAATATCATCCAATAATACACTGTCTTAACGACATATAACGTAAAGAAATATGAATAGTGGTATTAAATTATTATCAATTTCTAATAATTAACCATAAATTAAAAATTGAAACTAGGTAACCACTATCTTAAAGCAATATCTTATAAAAGACAAAGAAAACGGATGTAGCTTAAATGTAGAAAATTGAACGAGAAACGTCTCAAGGAGGAACATTCCACACACACACACACACACTCACTCACTCACTCACTCACTCATTCACTCACACACACACACACTCACTCACTCACACACAGGTAAGTGCACCCTTAAAATCTGGTAATAAATTCCCCTTCCTTCCTTCAATCTGTTACCTTTAATTATCCTCTGCTAGGTAAATAATTATTAATTATTATGTAATATACATAGTATGTCATTTGTGCTGCATCAACCCAATTTCGTGACAACATCTTCAAGGTGGTCGCTATATGGTACAAAGAAGGAAAGAAATGCAGTATGCCGTTAACTCATTCACCCCTGAAGACACATTTTAACTCTTCCAATTCAAGGATTGGAATAGTTCATTATGAAATTTCAGGGGTGAATGAGTTAATGAATTGCACTGCATAATCAGCTAGTTCGTCATTCTACGACTCGTCAGTGCTGCTGGAGGGGCCAAAAATTGTAATACAATTTATAATACATAAAACTGTATTACTAAATTATTACTACAATTATTAAATTATTATTACAATTTATAATACATAAAATTGTGTGTGTGTTTGTAAAAAATTTATAATACATTTAAACTTAATAAGATAGCATACTGACCCATGAACATCACATGTGAATTGTAGTCTGCGATACACCAGAGCCCACTCCACTTAAGATAAAGCCGATGTTATATAGGTGAAGGGTTTCCTTATCTTCAAATGTGGGCGATTTAAATGTTTATTTTATGCATTTGATCCCTTTGACCTCAAAAACAGGTCAAGGTTATTTACAGGAGAAAACTTTCTAGCACTCTATACCAGGAATGTATTTGCTGAAATATCAGAATACTAGTCATTTGACATTTAAGAAAAATTCTTTTAAGGTTCCCTGTCCCACTAGCTCAATCAGTTTGTGCGATAGTGTAACAATCTGAAGTCTGTGGTTCGAATACTGGTCTAGCCCTGATAATTATTTACACTCAGAACACTGCTGTTGATTATATCTTCTTAATTTCATCTTTTTTCTATCTCAGTTATTAATTCCCACAAGGTATGGTTTTCTTTTTAGAAAATAATGTATTAAGCTTTAGTCATGCTGGAAATACAGTTGCCGATATTTAGTTAAAATTTCTGCCAGTGGGACAATGATCCTTAAGATATTTTACCAATTATAGTCAATGTTACTCCTTGACCCAAGCCAAGTCTCAAAACTAACCTTTGACCTTAACACAACATAATATGAAACAAATCAAACTGCTGGTCTATGTAAGTATAAAGGCTATAGTTTTTACAGTTCTGTAGAAAATGCTGCAATAAGTTTTAAAACATTTTTGACTCCTGCAACATTGCAAGAAACTCAAGGTCATTTATAATTTGGACACTTTAAAAGTACCAAATCAAAGTTAACACTAGCCAAATATTAGGATGCTGGGTTGTCCAGTTTTCAAAGCAGTTGTTAAAAGAAACAGTTGATGGACAGATGAATGGACACTACACCAAACTAAATGCTCACAGACACTTCATGCCAGGTGAGCTAAAATGGTTAGCACCAGACAGACAGCTTACCATAGCACAAGTCACTTTGGTCTTTTAACTCACTGTTGTCGACGTCATACCATTAGTCTTCAACTACTATTGAAAAGTAATACTAATTGATGTAAAAGGAGAAATAATATTGAGTGCAATAAAACATCTTAAAATGGATGTAGTATTGCACTATTAATAAAACCAAGGGGAATAAGTCTATTAATCATGTTCAGACAATTGTGATTACATTCACACCCACTGATTCAGGGGATATAACTCCATAACTAACTTTCCCGTGAAGTTGGAAGTTAATACATTGAAAATTACTCCTGGTAAAGAGTGGAAACTATTTCAGCAAATTAATAAGGGGCATAACTCCCTTAATTAACTAGTTCACGCTTTCATGGTGATTGACTTTCCCATGAAGTTTAAAGTTAATACTTTGAATATTACTTGAGATATCGAGCGGACAGTTTCAGCACTTGATTAAAAAGACTTGATTAACTCCCTTAATAACAGTCAGATAATGGTGGTTGTCAAACGTGTCTGAGCTCTCGTGTTAATTAACCATCCAAGAAGTTTGAAAATAATACATTGATAGATATAGAGCAGAAGTCCTGTATATAATTCTTAAGTAGTTTTGAATATATGCCTAAGTCTGAAAACTCAGCTTAACAGATTCCCTTTTGTACTTAGCATATTGCTCATCTCATTAAATGGGTGGCATGATCTTTCTTAATGCCTAAGAATATTCTTGACGTTAAGCAACCTCTTACCCTGTCTTAAATCTTAAAACAACATGCATATCTTTACAAAATGGCTGCCGCAAATGGATAACATAATGCGCCTCAACAGTTTGTAAGGGCATTAAGACGGGAAAGACATTTTCGAGACACCATGGTGTGCCCGACTGCCAACTAAAATGATAACAAAAGATGTCCCGTCTTTGGACGGGCGTATAAAAATACTCAAAAGTGTAATATTTGCTCAGGTTTCACTCATATTTGCCTAGTCTTTTAACTCAGTTTTTGTCATTCTTTTTTCTTATTGCATTTTTGTTTTTAACGTCAACAGAACTCACTTCATCTTATGTGTTGCTCAAATTTGACTGTTCACTTAAAATTATGGCATATTGTACACAACTTTCTTGCCCAATTCAAACCATCATAATTAATACTTTTTTGACAGATTAACTTTTTCCATGAATTTTCTTCGCCATGAAAAAGAGAAAGGCTGGCAAGCATGGTTTCACTATCGCTATAAAGTAGTAACATAAATAACCAACATGTCTGATCGTTTATTAAAAATACATCAAGTTGACATAATGGTTAATAAATAAGATGTCTTTTGTTCCTCACTCATAACAAGTTTCATTTACACATTCAACATATTCACAAACAAAAATCATTATATAACAAAACAAAGTGTATATAACAGCACTAGATCCACTCTCTCTCGTCCTTAGAATCGCACTTCTACTCCTTCTCATCATTACACCTTTTTTTTCTCATCATTACAAAGTATAGCGCACAAACTTATCTTAACACTCTCTCATCATTAAAATCTTACTTCTCATTCTCATAATTACAAAATAGAGAAAAAATCTCACGTCCACTCAAATCTCAACATTACACTGTATAAGGTACAACCTCGCACCTATTTTCTCCCATCATAACAGAGTATATTGTACAAGCCTATCTTTACACTCTCATCATTAAAACCTTACTTCTCATTCTCATAATTACAAAATACAGAGAAAATCTCACGTCTACTCAATCTCATCATTACATATTACAATACATGTACTGTCTCCCCTTCCTCCTGTGTACAATAGCACTTCTATTTCTTTTCATCATTACAGGGTACAGAATACTTTCTCAATTTATATGTTCTATATACTCATTTGATACTGGAAACTTAATTTATCCAAAATTTCTATCTTGGAAACCAATTTTTACTATTTCCACTCTTTTTCATCCTGGACAGTTCATTTTTCGATCATTTTTATCCTGAAAACCAAGTTTTACATTTTTAATATTTTATACGGGAAATCAATTACTTTAATCGTTCTGAAATTTAATAAGGTCTTTCTCACGAATACCCAGGTCTTCTCCTCACATACACTGTCTACATGTATCTTCACACATATTGGAGCTTTTGTTTAGAAAACATGCTCATAAAAAATGTTATCATGTTTCTGAAATTATATGCTGGTTCAATTTCTACATTAAATATCAATTACTAAGAGATGAAAAAGCTGGATAAGAAAAGAAAGAAAACATGTGAGACATAAGACTTTCACACCTTTTTATTCTATAAAGACTCGGGACCAGTTTGCTCAAAGCAATGTAATTTTAATTGCACACTGAATACAATTTTCAATGTGACTACCGGGTATTTTTCATAACTGCTCGAATTTATTTATATAAATATTGCAATTTGTACCCATTTTTTTCAATTATCATCTGAAGATAAAGCTATTGAAAATATTTTAAATGAAGAGACAATAATACATTTTCAGAATTGTAGAATTGGAACAACGCTTTGGACAATTGACCCGAGATATTGAAATTTCTCTTTTTCTGACATGTTCCTTCAGTTTTTATTGTGAACCATTGAACTTTTTCTCCGGATTGCATACAGTGACTAGATGTTCTTCGCAGAGTAATGTGAGAAATTCACTGGTAACATATTTATCATAATTATTAATTATTTAACCCTTTCAACACTGTAGACCAAAATGGACTCCTCCAGATCAATGAATGGTAGAGTCCATTAAAGTTACATAGGGGTGAAAGGGTTAAGCTGATCATCTATCACATTTGTATCTATGGGAATTGAACCAGCAGTCAGGAAAGTAATTCTAGATAACCAGCCGAACACCACCAGTGAATGATCAAATCTGTGAAGTCAACATCAGCGATTCTGAAATAAAAGCAAAGGTACTTCAATTTATTGAAAACAGATAAGGAATTAAGAAAAATAAAATATGTGTAAATGTAAATTTTAACATGTACGATAAAACAGTCAAGGTCAAAAAAATTAGTTTAGCCGAGTATGAATTTATTGTATTAAAAACTACCCCAGTTAGTTAGGATTAATTCATTTTGCCTGCGGATAATCTGTCGATAAGATCTACTTCTACTTCTAAATGGTACTGACCAACTTCAACAATTTGAAGATAAAATGTCAGACGAGGAGTGAAACATGGAGAGAGATTGTTTTTAGAAGATACGAGATGGTCTAATTTGCGTTTGAAAAGCGACGGTAGAGGGCTGATTTGAATAATTCCGTTGTTGGGCTCGAAATAATGTCAGGTGGGAGTTTATTCCACTCGGGTATAGTTCGAGGGAAGAATGATGCCTTTCTGGGTTTTTGAGTAGGGAATTTGATACGAAAACTGGTGGTTTGTTTGGGATTTTCTAACTGTAGGGATTAATCTGTCTGATTTTATGATAGCGACTTTCTAGTTTACAATGTTATGAAGCATTGTCAGACAAGCATCTCTACGCCTATCTGCTAGAGGGCGCAGCTTTAGGTGGTCCAACATTTCTGACACCCTGGAGGTATGATGGTTGTACCTGTGCTTATTGAGCACATATCGCGCTGCCCTTCGCTGGATCATTTCCATCTTGTCAATATGTGTTTGGGTGTGAGGGTCCCATACTGTACAGGCATACTCAAGTGATGGTCGAACTAATGATTTGTATGCCTGTACTTTGGCTGATGTTGAGCCAATTTTAAGATTTCGTCTTAAAAAGCCTAGCGTAGAATTTGCTTTTGGGCAGATAGTATTTATATGTGAATCCCATTTAAGGTCAGATGATAGTGTTACACCCAGATACTTGACCTGACTAAGATGTTCCAGTATGTGTCCATGTAAAATATAATTATGGACTATTGGAGGTGTTTTTTTAGTCACCGACAACACATTGCATTTGTTTGGGTGGAAGATCATTTTCCATGTATTTTCCCAGAGGACTAGTTTGTCAAGATCTTTTTGAAGTGTTTCAGCATCACTGTTTGACTTGATAACTAGATATGCAATAGTGTCGTCTGCAAATAAACGGATTGCAGTATTTAGACCCACAGGGATATCGTTTATAAAGTAAAGAAATAAACTGGGTCATAAAACTGACCCCTGGGGTACCCCGGAATGGACATCGACAAAATCAGACTTCTCCCCTTCAACTACTTCTGTTTGAGTTCTACAGGTCAGGAAACTCTCAAACCAGTTTGCGACATTTCCACGCATACCATAATGTTTTAGTTTATGGTTTAGGAGAGAATGCCTTGTGATACATTTCTGAATGACCCCAAAATGTTTTGTTTTTTTAAAATCCTGTATCATTTTAAAAAAGATTACAATAAGATTCATGTGACCTTTTATTGCTGTAAAACTGTAATAAGCATCAATTGCAAAATCAAAAATTAGGCAAACAATTAATCCCTGTCCAACACCAAAGCAAAACACTAGAGGATCCCCGGATCTCACTGTAGTTTTTAATACCTAGAGTAACCTCCCCTTGATTTCGTTATGGATATAACAGTAGGAGGACTGGCCAGGAAACTACCGATGATAGTGACTCAGTGTAACTGTATTATGACCAGAAGTTCAGGGTTCAAATCCTATGACCAGAAGTTCAGGGTTCAAATCCTATGACCAGAAGTTCAGGGTTCAAATCCTATGACCAGAAGTTCAGGGTTCAAATCCTGGTCTGGCTCTAATGCATTTTCATTCTTTAGGATCCCTGTCTCACTGCACTGAGTTTTTCCGTTCAGATATAACTGTAGAACAATTGGGCCAGGACACTTCCGTTGAGCAGGTATTAGCTCAATCGGTTACAGCGATAGTTTATCAGCCAGAAGTTCAGGGTTCAAATCCTGGTCTGGCTCTATTGTATTTTCATTCTTTAGGATCCCTGTCTCACTGCACTGAGTTTTTCCTATGTGCGGTAACCTCCCCTTTACTTCCGTTTAGACTGTAGAACAATTGGGCCAGGACACTTCCTTAGACTCAATTGGTTAGAGTGATAGTTTATCAGCCTTAAGTTCAGGGTTCGAATCCCGATCTAGCCCCGCTGTGGGTTTTTTTACTCTCAGAATACCGTTGTTGATAATTTTGTTTATTTCAACTTTATTGTATTTCATAAAAGTCCTGAAAGGTATGGTTTTCTTTCAGAAATGATTTATTAAAGCTAGTCATGAAAAAAACCCACCAACAGTATGCAATATCGTAGTTAACAGCTTTTGGCAGTGGTAACGGGATTGTTTAACCATTATTTAATTATTTTGTTTTCATCTTTTTTTTCCCTTCAAAGTTCCATAGTGTATAGGTTTCTTTTCAGAAATTATATATTAAAGCTATTGTCATGCCCATAAAAAGTCTTAATTTCAGTTTTTGGCATTGAAATGAGGATCCTTAACATACTGAGTGAAACATAAATTAAAGTCAATGTAAACAACAACAGGAAAATAAATTTGCGTATTAAATGTAAGGAATATGCTTCAATTTGTACACATACACAATAACTGCATGTTATTTTATTTTGCTATTTTAAGATACATTGTATGTTGAAAAATTACCATTATAATTCAAGCGATGCCTCGAGGTAAAATAAAAGAGAGACGGTCTCCTAGCTCTCCCCACGACACTCGATTCGTCTGGAACACCACCACCCATGTAATAAGGATCGCAATCCAAACCACTGTCCCAATAATTGACCTGATCACATCTGGAACAAAAGAGGACAACTTTATTGACTACATCAACATGTAAACTTTATCTGAAACAACATTGATCCAACAGTAGAGAAAGCCGTTAATTTAGTTCAGGTTCGGTGGGTTCCTTTATCCCTTGCCTGGATACCAACCAGTATGCAGGGCGATTGAAGATTAGAGAAACTAAGAATAGGTGTCAATCGCAACAAGCTCAGGATAAGTTGATTCTTTGACATACCTTATAAAGAAACTTGTTGCGATTGACACCTATTCTTATCTGAAACAAGATACAAAGATTCTAAATGCCCACTCAATGTAAAAGGGTAAAATCTCATGCAGTTTTCCTCTACATTAAGATGCTAACAAGAGTACCGCGGGGCGGAACAATATACGCCATATAGTGTTATATACTTTCTTACATTGAAATAAGATCTGCATCATTCTAAGAGGGGTTAGCTAACATGCTATAAAAAATGTAGGAGAAAATCTCGGGACAAAAAATCAAATACTGAAATGAACAAAGGGCAAGAACTTTTGAAAAAATTGTTGAATCAAAACTCTTTTAAGGTAGACACAACTTCATATCATGATTATAATGTATACCAAGTTTCAAAGAGCTCCGTTGAAAAATGTAGGAGGAGATTGCCAGACAAAAATCAAAATACTGAAATGAACAAAGGGCAATAACTTTATGAAAAATTGCTGAATCAAAATTCCATTTAGGGAGACACAACTTCATATCATGATTATAATGTATACCAAGTTTCAAAGAGATCCGTTGAAAAATGTAGGAGGAGATTGCCAGACAAAAATCAAAATATTGAAATGAACAAAGGGCAATTACTTTATGAAAAATTGCTGAATCAAAATTCCTTTTAGGGAGACACAACTTCATATCATGATTATAATGTATACCAAGTTTCAAAGAGATCCGTTGAAAAATGTAGGAGGAGATTGCCAGACAAAAATCAAATACTGAAATGAACAAAGGGCAATAACTTTATGAAAATTGCTGAATCAAAATTCCTTTTAGGGAGACACAACTTCGTATCATGATTTTAATGTATACCAAGTTTCAAAGAGATTGGTCGAAAAATGTAGGAGGAGATTGCCGGACAAACAAAAGTTTACGCAAGACGGACGGACAGACAACCCCATACCGTGATATTGTACTTCCGTCAAATTTGACGGGCGTATAAAAACGAAGCAGTGTTCTTCTACCTGTTCTTTTAAAAGTAGATTTATATAGGGAAACAACATTGACCGTTTACAAAAATAAAAAAAAGTCCACTACACTTATAATTACATGTATCTTCAAGTGTAGTTTTTTTCTAGTTTACCTTACCAATTCCTGCTGATTTTTGAGAAAATCAACATGCAAAAATACATGCAAAACACAATCTTTATCTACAGATCAGACACATCTACCAGGTAAGGGGAGGTAATCATAATACACCACTTAATTATAGATAACAGCTGGTAAAGGTTCACTGTTCGTCACTTGTTTTACTAAAACTTACAGGTTCGTATCTGTTTTTGTTCATCATAACTGGAATGGATGAAAGCTTCCTTGAAAAACCAGATTGAATTTACAAACCAAAGGAACGGCAACATGGCAAACCCACCTGTAACAGAAACAAAACTCAAATACAGTGTCCAAATATATATACAAACAACATATTACTGTATTTCCATGTACAAAAATAGCTTTACATCATGAATATAAAGACTTAATTCTTAAATAAGCATCGCTTCTAATAATCTAGGTTATCGTAAAAGACTATTTATATATAACAAAAATGATGGAAATAAATCAAAATCATGATACATGTATCAAAATTATCAATTTATAGTTCTTTTATGGAACCAAATTACTCTCAGTCATGTATGTACACTTTGGACATCATTTCACAGTCTGCTAACACATGGTATATTTACATGTCAGGTACATGACCAGAGGCTATTGCATGGTATGCCGTTCTCACGTGCACTCACACATGCATTTTCATAGGGATCTTGATATTTTACAAATCATTATTTTCACAGGTAAGTAGACTGATTTGTAAAAACGATTTAATCGACAGAGCGAAACTTGCTCAACAGCGAAAAATCGTAACGCCCTCGAGCTTGTGAACTTGTGTAAGCACATGATATGTACATGTGAGGTCGGTACACAAAACACATACACCAGTCCGCATTCCATGTGTTTCATATATGACCCGGTCTCATGTCAGTATCTTCCCGTGAGTCTGTAACGTTTATGTCTATGAATTGGGAGCTTTATTACTGAAGTACATTTTACGTGTGATTATATATATTTCTCGGTAAAATCTCGATATTGGGTGTTGACATATATCATCGTCATGCACGTGTACTATTGTTTACCTGGTGTTACTATAAGATACACAATACAGAAATGACGACACAGTGTATGTACACATTTCGATCGAGATAATTGAGTCCGAGTTGTACTTTTTCCAGAAGTACGTCACGAAAATGGACACTGGTGACGATATGTGGAGCCACCTTCGGATGAATGATTTTAAATGTTTTCTGTTAAACTTACCAACATAGTACTTCCTGCACAGAGACAGTTTGTCCTCGTTGCTGACACGCTTAAGATCCATTTGTTTAAACTTTCGGCTGAAGTGAAAGTAGAGATTAATAGCATCAACGTTAACATGCAAAAATGCAAGTTATGTTTCATTTACTGGTAACATTCTTCTCAATATTTTTTTCAATTTGTCTTTAAACAAGAAAGAATCTGTATTACGAACAAAAGACAACTGAATTATTTAATTTGATATTGACCGAAAAAATAAAGTTCAAAATACATAATCTAAATATGAGTGAATATAAACATTCAATAGCTATAATGTTATATGACGTTTGGAAACACGGAGTTTCCATGTCATGCAGAGTACAAATAATTTAGACATTGTAATTCATATTGTTGAGGGAGTGAATCATAGATCAAATGTAACAATGAAATGGCGAATATACTATATGATAGATGGGGCGCTAGAAATATACTAGGTTGACTTGTCAATTCTTTTTCGTTTGAAACAAATTAGCCTAAATCGATATCACAAAAACTCTGTTTACCTCGATTTTCTAGTTTTTCTTCCTCGACACTGTTCCGTTCCTCACTTCCGTACTGTGTAAAACGTCATCAGTTTTGGTGTTTAATTATATCGAGGTCACACGCGCGCTTGGAATACTCTGCATAATGACAAACTTTGATCTGACCCTGTAAACCGTATGCTCGCACGAAAATGGCCGAATATTTGGCGTCGATTTTCGGCACAGAAAAAGATAAGTGAGTATCTCTAAAGAAGCGTTTTGTCGTTCTTCTTTTCTTCATTGCATACAATACAATAACACAGTAGCAATCTGTGATATGTGTTTTTCAGTTGGATTTAAGGCGCGGGTGTTTATTTAATTCCAAATACAGTCTCAAAATAAATCAATAAATTATTGGGCTTTCTGCAATACTTTGTCTTGAATAATAATACTTTCAAGACCATTCGGTATGAAGTTTCAGTACTAATGTATTGCTCTTAGCATTTATTGGATGATATATTTAAATATGAACTGATGAATCGTTTATTTAGATATGAAATAGTATTATTTATGGAGGGCTATATGAAAGTTTGTGTTGGCCGATTCACGACTCGGAAATGGGACGAATTGACTCAGGTAGCAAAACGTTGCACGCTAGTTCTGGCCAAAATTTAATACATATAATAATGAGTTACTTTGAAATGGGAATTTGGTCTCTGTAATATATGTTGACGATTAATGAAAAATGTGACACTAATAGTTTATATTCGACTAAATTTAACTCATCAAATCTGAAAGTATTCAAAAAAACTACAGCAGAGACTTTTTGTTTTTACTTATGACGAAGTTTTTACATCACAGTCCAATATCGATACACAGCATTTACTCCTCATTTATATATATGTATTGAATATGAAATAATATGCGTTTCTTCAATTTGCACAATGTGACATCAACGTTAACACCGTCACGCACGTACAATCAATGAGTTAAGTAATTAAACATAAAGACACACCTTTTGGAGAATTCCAACACTTTGTATTCAATTACTGTATATTTATAAGAGTATAACTTGATATTTTCTGTCAATATGAGTTGACATGGTAATATTAGAAGTAACACTGAAGGAAGTAAGATGTTATTTACAGATATAAGTATAGTGACTAGTATAGCTTTATAGACCAAGACATTAAACAACTGCAGTAGAGGAAAAATGCATTTGCCATGGTTCCAGTGAAATGCACTTCATGATATTATAATTTAGTACTCAATAAACAGATAAACATGTATAATACTTATATAGTACATGTACTTTTATCACCCCCTGGTTTATCTGGTCCTTGATACAGTGTAGTTACTAGTTCCAATCATACTTCAATAGATTGAATTTTGTCAGTAGGTGTTTATTTATACATTAAAGTTTATAACAAAAATGACTCTTTCCCTTTCAGAGTAAACTGTTCCTTTTACTTCAAGATCGGAGCATGTCGACACGGAGAAAGATGTTCACGTCTACATAACAAACCCACATTTAGTCAGGTATCTATGTACAGCTATCCATACTTAAATATTGTATGGAAATGGTCGCATTTAGTGACGTCTGAACCATGAAAATCATTGTCTGAATGGCAGCCAGATACTTTTGTAACATGAACCAGAATACATTTCTAATTTCTCTAGAAGTGATGTTGCATTTAATTGACGTTAAAAGCATACATTTTTAAAAAAGCATGCAAATCTGATGGTCAGATTTATAAGCTATTGATATGATTATCTTTTGGTTATATATTGAATTTCCTCACTTTATTCCATTTTCATTTTTAGCTTGTAAAATAAAAATAAATATATGTAAACTGAATTTTGCTATTAATTGTTTTTGAACAAAAAAATGGATTAAGTTGACGTTAACCTGTTTGACATAACTTTATAGTGTCTCTAATATTTCAGACCGTACTGATACAGAATCTGTACCTGAACCCACAGAATGCTGCCCTTACAGCTGATGGCTCTCACAGTGAGTAACACACATATCATAGGTCTAGGTGTCTACACACACTTGGTTTATCTTTTATTTTCAATGTCAGATTTCACCATTCCAAACCTGAAGATTGCTGTGTTTTGTAAAAAAAAAATGAAAGCTTTGTATCATACATTTTGGGGTAGGGCTTAGTAAGGTCAAAGATCTTATGCCAAATCCCTTTGATTGATCAATAAAATATGTTTGAATGAAATGATAGTACATGCAAACAGACTTCTGTTATTGCGACATGGAATAAAAAATTGCAAATTTCTGGATTGATGCCAAAATGTTTATATAATTATGCAACTTTCAAATGAAAGAACCATGTCCAAAGGTGAAGAACTTGATAGAAATATTTGAATGTTATATTCGAACTTTACCTTGATTTTGGTGGAAAGTTTCTATTCATGATATATACAAAACACAGCAGCTGAATGCTTCAAATGTACATTTTCTCTGGGTATTGTGGATGTATTCACTGTTGTAATAATTTAATTGTTGTAGACCAAACATCTCAGACTTTACACCAGAGATTTATGGAAAGTAGACTTTAGACATTATTCTGCAGTATATTATTCCCAGCCAGAAAAGATAAATGTCAGTTATGATCTGTTTTGGTAAACACTTTACCTATTACCTTGGTTTACAGGTACTGTATAGTACTGTAATGTTATAATATGGCTTGCATAGGACTTATTGAAATTTTTAATCCTTTTTCGGACTCTTTAGTTTACATTGTAAAGTCTGTTAGAAATTTATTTGTATCATGAAAAATCAAATTATATTAATGAAAATCAACCTGATTTAGGATTATTTTTCGTAATGAAAAGATATTGAGTAATCGCAAAAAGAATGAGACTGTGTGAGGGACAGCTGTAGGTCTGTTTCATTACTAGAAATCACCTACATTTTTTGAGATATGTGGATATATTTATCCAAATATATTTCAAAATGATGTATCAATATTTATGAATTTTACATCTTGTAAACTGAATCCTCACAAATGTTTATGACAAAGTTACAAAACAAAAAGTTACATTATACAGATCGGTCTGAAATCACAATTTGAAATGTTGTCGACTAGTTTGAGAATATTCGGAAAAATTGTTGTCACAATGTTTCATGCAATACGTCGTTTTCGAGAATCTTTTTGAAAATTTCTCTCCAGATTCAGCTGCATTTTAACTAAGTATGCATGTCATGTGATAGCGGGGCATATGTACTTCTGGCAAACAGTGATAATCTGATCACAGCAGTTAAAATAATGTACAGAAACAGTGGTTTGCAGTTTCCAACCGTATATCAGACGAGCGGGTACTAGTCTGTAGATAACTCTTTTATGAAGAATGCAAAGTTTGTGCCGTTTCCACCAAAATTTACCAAACTTACACTGCGATTAAGTTGGCTTACTACTGATTTACCTTCATACTAGAAGTATACATGCCCCCATATAATGTAAAACGTGATCACCAAATCAAGTGACTTTTGTTTCGGAAACTTGTATCTCGAAAACAACGTATTATAATTATATAAATATAAGTGTAGGATGCACAATGATATGTTTCTGTCACTTATAGTCTTTGTGTGATTTTTTGTTTATTTTTAGTGGTGTTGTATTTTATTTTCAATTTTTGTTTTAATTTCATTTATTTAATTTTCAGTTTCATTTTGTTTTGTTTGTAGTGCCTACAGCCTGGATTACTATAATTTCTACAGTCATATGGGATGATCCATTAATTATGCATGCCATATATAGATGTATTTAATTTATAAACATAGTTTCTCTTCAACAGGGGCAAAACAAGTTACAGTACTTGGGGGAAAAAAATTGGATCAGATGTAAAATTATGCAGTGTTGTAAAGTTGAACCCACTCATAGAAATAATACCCTAGCTTTAAAATATAGCATTGAAGACAGAAAACAACAATAATTTGTGAAATTTATTTATGAATTGCTGTTATTCTGGCAATTGACATATGTAACAATATTCGCTTATGTATTATTGCGTTCGTAAATGAGCTCTTCTTTTTTTTTTTTTAAAAAGTAGAATTTGAAACATGGAAATGTCAAATTTTGCGCATGTAAATATTATTAATCTTAAACCCTGGAATGGTCACAGAGATAAGTGTAGTATAATAATGTTATTGACAGCATCAACGTAACTTTATATAAGAAGATCTGAAGAATGTATTGATCCAAACATTTTGCCCCTGTTGAGATAGACTGCCTTGTTTTGTTTCCCTATCAGTGTAGTGCACGAACCTGTAGCTTGTGTGGTGTTTGTGTATGACCTCTGATCAGCTATGCATGCTTGCTTCAGTGAAGGTCCCTGTGTGGCAGGTTGTTGTGGAGGTAATTAACAATCAAAACATATATATACCAAGTAAACAATCAATTTGAATCTTACATCATCATGTAAGCGTCTGTAAACATGGACATTTTCATGCATTGGTACATATTTAATACGGTAATCTATAGGTATGTTTATAATGTACTGTACTTACTATTTCCTCACAAATTTGCCATTCACTGCTTAAAATTGTTAATAGATACTATCCCCTATACTATGTCAGGATATTGATCATTTTCTGTGGCTAATATAAGGGGAAATTTTGTTCATTTTACATGATTTTTACATCAAGAAATTCAAAAAAGTTTATAATGCTACTGTAATTTTTGTAGATTTTTTTCAGAGGAGTACTGATTTAAAAAAAAAACATAGAAAATTGTTAAGTTTTCTTTCTCAAAAGGGAATGTTAATGATAAGAGAAAGGATTTTTGTCTCCAGGGGAGATTTATCCATAAACATGTGTACAATGTACATACCCGTATAGAGAGTTAATAAGATTTTGACATAGATTGTCTTTGGGCTCCAAAAAAATATTTGTGAAACCTGTTTTAAGTGATATCATGAAATTTACATGCAGTGAAAATATCCATGTTTACAACCAATTATTTCACATAAAAATTCTTAACTTTTTTTTTTTTAATTTGTTTGTTAAAATTGCATTCTGAAAAGGAATTTGTATAAACATGTACATTAATTTATACTGCTGGAGTGATATCTGGTATTAGAAAAAGATTATTTATCTGGAATTATTTAAATAACAAGATATATGATGTAATAGTAATTAATTATTACATATCTTGAATTTGAGTTAAATGTTGAAATATTTAAAAAACAAATTAAGTCAATCAATGATTTTATATATGTGTACTTTATCTGTTTACAAGCTTGCTAAAATGGACTAATCTAGGGTTTGTACCGTGCTAGACATATGATCGGATCATTATTCCTTTTGTTCGGAATGCTTTGATACTAATAACTTTGTTAATAGTTATTAATTCCATATTTAAGGCCAAATAACGACAAAATTGTTTCAGCTTTTTATGAAAACGTATTGAGCAGGAATGTTCAACTTTTCCCTGATTTCATGTTACCTGTTGTTTATAAAGCAACGTCGCAAGTTTTCAGACATGTGAAGTGTTGATGAAGTAAGAATTTCATTACTTTTTACAAGTTCAAAAATAGATATAAATTATGCCACAATGGGCAGGAACTTGTCTCTGACAAAACTTTTTCTCACTTAGTGAATACAATAGCATACATTATAACTTACCAGAGGGTGTAGTGACCACCAAATTTTAACACTTTTAAGACTGGATGATCTTTTGGCTTCAAATTAAAGGAACTTTTATATAAATATGAATCTGAAATTCATTCATTACTAGAGATGTGGTAACACATACAAACATTGTATGAAATGTTTATATTTTGAGTCTCGTGTAGAGGATCATAAATGATCCACACCAGAAATAAACTTAACTTATTTATAAAAAATAGTTCTACATGTAGCTGTCTCGGTAATAATAATAAATAAGTTTGTTATTATACTCCCCCGCAACAAAGTTATTAGAGATGGGGTATACTCGAATCTGGTTGTCCGTCGGTCTGTATTTAAACCATCTTATCCGCACAACTCCTCCTACACTTTTCAACTAAATTACATGAAACTTCACTGTTGCAATCAATACACTCTGGAGTTGTGCACCTATTTTCAATATTTTGATAACAATATCTTTATGGGAGTTATGCCCCTTTTTACAAAAGATAGCCAATGATGCTGCAGTCAACACACTCTGAAGTTGAACACCTGTGATTAATATTTTGATTCATCTATGTGGGGGGGGGGGGGGGGGGGGGGGTCATCCCCTTAAGTTTAAAAAAAAATGTTCACACAACTCCTCAAACTATTGTACCGATTTGAACGACGCTTGGCACACAGAACCCTTACATCAAGGGGATGTTCATAAAGTATTTTTGGGGACGATTTATGGGGCCATATTTATGCTTAATTCCCAAATTTGCAGTTAACTCCTGAAAGTTTCTTTCCCAATTAGAATATTTTCTTCTCGAAATGAGATAAAAAGGCCCCATCCTAAATTAATGGAAAATAACCCTGCCTTCTATTTATTATTGGAAGTGGAAATTATTTAGCAGTTTCAAATCGCCAATCATATTTTACTCTCGTCAATGGCGCCAGCCCTGTATTTATATAGGTCATAATGATCACCATTTTAAAAAGGCGGACTTAATATAATGGTTCAGGAGCTAATAAGAATTTTTCATACAAGTTAAAACTCAGTGGAAAGCTATAGATGTGTTGTTTTAATTGCACTACAGACAAAAAGTGTGTTTGGGGAAAATTTGCATCTGAGAACTAAATTTTTTGATAACACATACAGGTATACATGAACTGCAAGAAGGAGTACTAATATTTTGAGAGAAAAAAATTAAAGTAAAAAAGAAATTTTTGGAGCTCTTTATCTGAATTAAAATACAGCATTGTCAATATATATACTGGTATATGTAACTGTTCAAAACAGAATGTTTTTTATTTGGCCTTGTATGAATTAACCACACTGTATGTTTGATTGTGAGCGCTAACATGTTTGTTTCAGTCGCTATGGACGATGTGGAGGCGCAACAGGACTATGATGATTTTTTTGAGGAAGTATTTTGTGAATTAGAAGACAAGGTAAAGTCTTGCTCATATTGAGAACTTTAACATGTGATGATTGTATACCAGAGTCTCGGCCAAAATACCGCAAGTTCCTATTCCTGTTTTCTCCAAATCTCTGTTGCCGTAATTTATTTTATAATGCGGCTGAATATGTTTTGCATTAATCTTTGATTTTATCCTCCCAAACAAATTTGTCACACAAAGTTTCACAGATAATTTGATCATGCTCATCTGACAGATGGTCTAAACTACAACGTTATTTTTGTCCTGCACCGTTTAATAGTGGTTACGAACATTTTTCGTAAAAGAGAATTTATTGGAATAAGTCTAGAATTTCAATTTCAATTGAATTGGTGAAGACTTAATTATGAACTTGTATATATATTTGGTGAGAGCTTGGTGTAGATCTGATATACATTTCGTATGAGTGTATCTAGTTATATCTACCGTCTTGAACAAACAGAATTATCATGATGGGAGGTTTTGGACAGTTAATATAAGAGTATCAGCTTTACAGTTGACAATCAAGGAAGGCATTGTCTTTCTCTACTTATACAAAAATCTTGAATTTATACAAAATTGATGAATTTGTATCAAGACAGTATATCTAGAACACTCTAGTATAACCTTAATCTGATTTCCTTAATTTCAGATGACATTACATAGGCAGCGGAGAACTTTTTTTTCTCAGTCAAGATTGTTCATATATTCTTTATGAGTGATGGGTATTTGTACCACATTGGTAAAACCGTACACATTCTGATCAATTGTTCTCATAACATTTTCCATCACGACATTTTCAAAAGTGCAATTCACATAAAAGATCAATTTGAAAATTTGAATAGATAATTTCATAAATTTCTCAAATTTTCTTGACTTTGAAAATTAATTTTCTTCAAACCCTGACCATTTACTGTAAATATGTTATTTTTTTAACCTTTTTAGATTTGGAGGGGGGGGGGTGCAAAACAGAAATGGAATTGTATTGTTGTATGCAACGTTCATTTAATGGTTTGCATTTGAAAAGTGTTTTAATTGATGAGGTCAATTAAAATAATATACATCATATTTGGTCACGGTTTACGCTGTCTTACGGTCATGATGCAGAGGAAACCAGTTAGCCAATCAAACTGCAGCATCAACAGAAAGAAGCCAATCAAATGGCAGTATAAAGTCCGTTGAAACTTATTGGGGACAGGACACATATGAGTTACTTTGAGTGCTTGTTTTTGTTTTTAGTCCAAATGGATGAGTTAGCTATACAGCAGCACTATGATGAGTTCTTTGAAGAAGTCTATGTAGAAATGGAGAAGGTAGGCAACCTCAATGTCATATTCCTCTTGAATGTAATGTATAGTACACATGTATATGGAAAGTGAAAGTAAACCTTCCCATGATGCATTGGTCATGGAAAGTGAAAGTAGTTTGACATGGGGCATTTTTGATCAACCATTTGGAATCATCTAGCCACCGCAATCATGCATAAACATTTGAAGTTTGAAATGATAATGACAGAAAATCAAAACTTACAAAACATGTACATGTAAAAGGATGTTTTCTGTTAAGCTCGTATTTTGCTATGACCATGTCCATGTTTCATTTGTTAAAAGAAAACAGCCCTTATGTCTTATACTTACATCAAAAACAACTGTCTGGAGTTTGCTATATTAAAATGAACAAAATAAGCAGGTCAGCTACAGTAGGAATTCCAGGTAAGATTAAGATTGACTGGTCAAAATACATGTATAAATGTCCCTGTAAATTTATGACAAGTCAAACAGCAGAGTCAGTGTCAATCCAAAATCTGAGATAGCTTTTTACCAAACTTGAATTTGCTTGAAATATTTTCGCTAAGTTCTACTGAATTTATTGAAGAAAGAAATGTTCATGGTAGACTAAGCAGTGTAAGACAAAATCCATTTGATAATTTGTTAAAATTCCTTTTTGTTTACTTTTTTTAAAATTAGAAAATTATTCTGCCGTCAAAACTCTTTATGAATTGATTACTGGTTAGGGATACAGGCAGATCAGAAAAATGTTAAATAATATAAACAAGTGCACGGTTGGGCTTGTTTTCAGATCAATTTTCATATATAGTGATCTGTGACATGGCTCTGTCCGTTTCTTGCTTTGTAAAAGCATAGTTCTGTTGGCTTCTTGTTTTAAAACATGCAGAATTTAAACTCATGGCATGAAAGCCCGTCATTAGAGATATTAGTATGGATCAATCAATTTTGCAGATTTCTTAAGTATACGCCCTGTCTTTCCAGCAGTGGTAATTTGTATTTAGGTGAAAAGATAGAAGTGTGGGTGGAATTTGCAGTTTCGTGATTGTATTGAATAATTTCACTTTCATATATACAGAGAAGTGTTGATCACAGGTAAAACACAGGTAAAGTGAAAGTAGACACGTAATTGTTTTATGTGATTTCAGTATGGTGAAATCGAAGAAATGAACGTCTGTGACAACCTTGGAGATCACCTGGTGGGGAACGTCTACGTAAAGGTAATGTTACTACAACGGTGTAGGTGTTTTACCACAGGTGCTGGACACAAAAGCATAACAATGATATATATATATTATATAATAGCTATATTTTCAATTATAGTATATCAGTTCTATCTTCTTTTAATATGATGTATATGTACATGTAACTGTTCTGTTTCACTGTGTCTTGATAAAGGAGCAGATCGCTCTGAAAATTTGACAACCTAAACTTGTCCACACTGTTGGAATTACTTCTTTGCCCCATATTATATAATTAGTATTTATGTATAATGAATACATACACATATAAGCTTTTGTGTGTCCAGCACTGACGTGGTTTCTTATCCCAATCTGTGTAGATGAATTTACCATATGTTTAAGTCGGGCCTTCATTGGTGAAAATGACTTTACAGTACTTTTCGATGTTATGTTGAAAGTCAACTTGCTTTGTGATGTTGTACATGTGTTTCCAAAAGATTTCTTCTCATTTGGAGACAGGAATCATACATAATGTGAAAGTTCTCCTAGAAACTGGTTCCTGAACAAATGGTGATAGGTTTATGATCATTTTTAAATCTCATTAATTAATTTCCAAATTGTAGAGACTTTGTAATCTTTGTGTCAGTATTACAGATATTAGAATTGAAATTTGACAAACTTGGGTCAGTGTAATAATCAACCTTCATGTGCACTTGTTGGCGAACTTAGCAATATTGATGTGTGTATTCTGAAAATATTTCTTTTACCATATGCAAGTCCCAGCACATTCCAATTCAGATATAAATTCTGCAGTAAGATTTAATAAAAATACATTTGACCAACCTATATTTTCGCAGTAAATGTTGAAAATTTTCATAATCTCTAGCATTAAATCAACTGGCACCTGCAGGTAGTCAGGCTCATGGAACTGATATACATGTACCTCTGTGATGATTAAGCCTTTGTGTCGCAGTATAAATTGTTATATAACCAAGATTATTTGTTACAGTACCGCTATGAAGAGGATGCTGAGAAGGGAATGAATGACTTGAACAACCGTTGGTTCAATGGTAGGCCTGTGCATTCAGAGTTATCTCCCGTCACAGACTTTCGGGAGGCATGCTGTCGACAGTACGAGATGGGGTATGCTAAATCTTCCCGGTTTATTAAAACTTAAATTTTCCGAACAAATTTTGATATCAGTACCGGTCACTGTTAACTCATCGACCCCTGGAGACACATTTGAGCTCTTCCAATTCAAAGGTTGGAATGGTTCATTATAAAATTTCAGGGGTGAATGAGTTAATGACCCATAGATGTGGCACAAAGTTTTTATTTGTCAAAATAAAATAACATAATTTCTTATTGAAGAGTCATGATCAGGTGGTGAGAAATTGTATTGGTATTAAACTTAAAAGCTTGTAAGTAGACTTAGAACATTTCTATAAGCTGATGTTTATTTTCATTGCATGTTTTGAAAGTTTTCACAAATCCTGACGCACTGTATTCTGTGAAACTTTGCTCCATCCAATTAAATCCATGTTCACCTAGTGTTAATTTCGCCCTTCCCATGTACTACCCCATTCACTGTCATGATGAAAGGCTAAAATCAAACTTCAGCGAATATTTCCCAGTACATGTATATAGTAATCTCTACTAGGCTAGATAAGTGAAACTGTACACACCTGATTTTGATGATCTTAATTAAACATGGTATGAACTTTATTGACTATTAACTCATTCACCCCTGAAATTTCATAATGAACTTTTCCAACCATTGAATTGGAAGAATTCAAATGTGTTTTCATGCGTGAATGAGTTAAAGTACAAATTTACATTTAGTGTAACATCAGACATGTACATTTCCATGTTGCAACATGACTCGTTGAACTGAATTGAGACAGATTTTACTATTTATAAAATTTGATCGGGGGAGTTTCCTGAAATTGTTTTGCAGTACCGTCAATCATCAAAAGTCCAAAAGTTCTTCATCAGATCTGTTTTGTTTTTTCTTACAGAGAATGCACCCGAGGGGGATTCTGCAACTTCATGCACTTGAAGCCAATATCGAGGGAGCTCAGACGTGAACTGTATGGCCGAAGCAGGAAGAAGAGAAGGTGTGTATCATATATTGAAACTTTTTTTTTTATCAGTATTAGCTAAAAAGTCTTACTCTTTAAAATTGAAATAAAACAAAATCTAACTTGGCTTCTGTGTATGTTCTGAGTGTGAAATTAATTTGAACAAAACACATTTTTAACTGACAAATTTTTCTATTTTCGGTTACCGAATTATAATATTGATTTGTTTCTGTCACAAAGGTCAAGGTCAAGGTCACCACCTACACGGGGCCGTAGCAGGAGCCGAGAGCGAAAGAGGTCACGTAGTCGTGAGAGGAATAGGTCCGCATCTCCTCGTGGGGGCCGAGAACGTCGGGGCAGAAAGGAGCGAGACGGTCGTCAGGGACGATACTAAACAACAGATGACGAATTGTTGTACCAACTTTTCTACGTACCATTGTTTTTACCTTTTGTCCATCAAGTGAACATTCATCGACATCATACACTCAAATGGACATTAAATTCATTGTCGGTGGAGTTTCTTTATCATAGAAAACTGTGTGATATAGTGGAAAACACCTGAGATAGGTTTCTCAGATTGATGATGGACCCAAGTTGAAACTACATAGTTCAATTTTCATCACCATAAAGGGCTGTTCTGCAGACAGTAAAAAAAAGTACTCTGCTGAACTCTTGACAACTTCAGTTGTACCGTTTGATATTTGTAGGTCACACATTATCAATATCCGTTAATACATTATCATGACATTGAGTAATGCACACCTTTGCGTTTTGAATACAGATTTTATTTACGATTATTTTGCGAGTTCGGTATCTCAGAACTGGATTGGTGTCGCGCAGATCGTTTTTATTTTTCAACTTAACTCATCAATATCAATGTCACTTGTGTTTTGTTTCATCATGGAAGTGAAATAAAATTTATTCAGCTACAATTAATTTCTTTCATTTCTTGTATATTGTAACAATACTGGTGATTATACCCAGGTAATTCATATTTTACCTGACAATGGTTTTGTGCATGTAGCATGAGTAATCTTTTAGGTCAAAACAAGGATTTTTCCTCATAATCTTTTGTTGGTGAATATTATAATAAGTTATTTCATTGAAAACAATACTGGTTTATTATTATTTACATATTTATATAACATTCAAGCTTCAGATATGTATTAAGGTAGGTAATGAAGTTTAGCGTTGGAATCTATACATACATACACAATAACTACTACAGATAATGATGTAACCTAAATAGAAAATCAGAAATCAGCCTAATAGAATAAGTTATGCATACTTGTCCTTTAAGAAGAAAAAAAGGGTAAGGAGGGGCTCACATCTATAACCCTCCACCCCCAATTATTTATACTATAACACAAAAAACCAGAGTGGCCAAATGTGACCTTTGACCCCGAGAGATGCCGACCAAAAATATCTAATCATTTGTAGAACTCAAACTTAAATACAATAAACAATTAAATTGTTGAGTGGTTCATGAGATATCTACTTCTCAAGCTTTTTTTAACTTCCAAAAAGGTCATTTGACCTTGGACCTTAACGGATGACACGGAAAAATATGAGTGCAGACTTCCAAGTTACATTACTGAGTGGAAATATTCAATAAATGTGCATAAGGGTTTATGAGATATTTATTTGGAGCTTTTCACTCCACTTCAAAAATGGTGAAGTGTTACCAATGACCCTTAAACTTTGAATGATGACCTCCACAATCTAATCCTGGTGTACCCCTCCAGTAATTAGAGACTAAACCTGTTACGATACCTTGTGCGAGTTTTACTATGGACCAACACACTGTCAATGTGATTACTACCATACACACCTCGTGTAATTAGAGATACAACTTATTATATATAATTCCCTTTACACCAATGTGTTTGTTAAATTGGTAAATCCGATGTCGTTGGGTTGGGGCATACCACAGATGTCAAGATTTCATATGTTAATATGTGTATCAAATTACTAGAACTCTGAGGTCCCTTACATATTTGCCTGTAAAAAAAACAGTCAATTGTGGACAAAGTTGGTTGATTGTACAAGGTTAAATGTCCTATTACGTCATTGAAGCCTCCGTGTGTGATGTGTGTGTTGTGTATGCTGCAAGTGTGTATGTGTGCTGGAGGCAGGGTATGTTGGTGTATTTGCCTCCTTGTACAATCGCGAATCTGATGCCGACTTTACAGTGCTATCTCATGAAAATACCATACCAAAGGCACCCAGCACAGCAGTCCGCCCAGTCACATTATACTGACAATGGGTGAACCAGTTGTTGCCATTTCCCTACATGCTGAACATTTATTGTGGGCATAAAGAAACAAATTAAAGGTTCACGGATATTTGATAGCAGTGCTCTGTATTCGATTTGAAATGGCTTTACTGGACATTTCCATAGCTATTTTAAATATGGAACAAGAAACTAAGGTCAGTGTGGATTATTTATTCATTTTATTACTCATTTTAATATTACACACACTAAAAGAAGGGAGGTAACTCTATTTTACGGCTGGAAGTTTTGTTCTACAGACCAGTGGCACTGGCCTCATCCTCTTCCTAGTCGGCCATTGGAAAGCGTGCATAGCTTCTGTCCGTAGGGTAGACTCGCTATAGGCTCTGCAACAGATAAAACTTTAATGTGTTTTATACAGTGTAGGTAAAAAAAAGGGTATCGGAGATCCCCGTACTGTAACACATCTACAAGAAAACCCATGTAATATGCGCATTCTGTTTGCGGGTAATGCTGTATGTTAAATGTTCCAACGTCCATATTTAACATAGGTGCCTTTGATATGAATGTGGGAACAACATTCCCTGTGTTAAGTATGGACCATACAGCGATACCCGCAAACAGAATGTGCACATTACGTGGGTTTCTTGAAGATGTGTTACGGTATTTGAATATGTATATGACAGTAATTAAATCATTATTATTCATATTTCCCAAACCACAATAAATTTAAAGTGAAGTATCATCCCAAGTACACATGGTCACCTGTTTCGTCTGTTCTTGCTCTTGATCTTCGCCAGCAGTGTAGGGGTCGCACTGGCGCTTCCTGTGGCGATACTCGGTGGACGGTAATCTAGGGTGGACCGACTCAGGGGAGGTAACTTCTCGTTGGCGTTCCACACGCCAGGTCGAGATACTGTGCTGAATTCTTTGACTTGATTATATTCCTTTGAAACAAATAACATATCAATTTGTATTGATGTTTTGTCGTCGAGTGACGTCATTGTGCTTAGAGTACAGATAACGTAAACGGAAGCTGCACATGGCCATTGGCTTACAGTAAAACTCATACATATACATGCAGGCCCATGTCTGCAAAGGTCATTATTGACATTGTTCTCGAAATGGGTATACCAACCACCTTCAATATTTTTTTCATTTTGAGGAAAAGTTATGAGCCCATCACATACTAAATACACTGACATGGGCCTGTATGAAATACCTGAAGAATTATGTTTGTACATGTACCTTTAGTGTCTCTAAGTAGGTGTCCCGGTTGACATCACCTATATAGTTCAGGAAATCTCTCTTACTTGAACACAGCCATTTTGCCTTTTCATCACTGCGGTTCGGGGTTGGTAGCACCTAGGGGAAAGAACCAGAGATGGAGATACGTCACAATAATGGCCACGAAGTAGAGAGGAGGAAAGCAGACCTGTCTGGGGCATAATAGCAAGGTATACACTTATTCTTTTATACTGATCAAGACGTTGGCAAGACCAGAGATATATATGTTACAGTGTAGTTTATGTCTCTGACAAGATACACCACCATGCATTGTTGTAACGACCACACAGTTACAAAATAAAAGTGACCCTTTTGTTGACGGACATATAGTTACAGCGTGTTAAGAACCCTTTCTATAACAACAGGACCCTTTCTATAACAACAGAATTTTACTCTCAATGTACATCCAAACCTAGGCCCATCGATATTGGCCTCGGTTACAAAGTACATACAAAGATGTCTGCATCGGTCACAGTTATAAGGCACATACAATGTATACCTTTATAAAGGATAAATAGTTACAATATTACACCACCCTGTGTATAGCGGTCACGTAGTGACAGTTAGCTCACAAACCTTTATAAAACGGCCACAAAGTTACATTGTATAATCAAACCTTTCATCTAAAGCAAACAGAAACGTAGGTCTCATATTCAAAACTTTCAGTTGTATCAATAAAGAAATGTTTCTCAACCTTTACAAATCTTTGGTACGTCCATACCTTGAAATTAATGTTACTACGTGGTCACCTATTCTGAAAAAAGACCAAATCTCCCTAGAAAATGTTCAAAGAAGGGCAACCAAACTAGTTCCATCCCTAAAAGATCTCTCGTACGAGGGGAAAATATAACAATTATTAGAGGACATGCTTTTAAAAATAGAATTGTAAATATTTGAAATCAACTCCCTACAATTGTGGTAGCCAACAAGAGTGATTAATTTAAGTTGAAATAACTTGTTTCATAATTGTTGTAAAATAAATAAAGTTTATATTTATATTATATCTAAATTAGGATAGATCATGCGGAACTTGACTGCGTCGATCACCGGTGACTTGGGTTAGAGCGCCCGTCTAGAGTTCGGAGAGTCCCGGTTTCGAATCCCAATCTGTAGTTTCTCTGTTCCCTATCAATATAGTAGCGTGATTGCCAACCTTGTTTCAAGCTTGGCAAAGGGATACCGGAAATTGGGTTGTAAACTGCGAATGTGTTAGGGAACGAAGACGGGAGGAATGTAACGCAACTGAAGAGGGTCAATCGTCGGCGATAAGGTAGTTCACATGAGAGAGTCCGTCTAGAAATCGAAGCGTCCCTGCTTCGAATCTCGGTCTGGCCGTGCATTTGTCTTATTTTTCCGATTTCACTACTAACGAAGTATACTATTGGTCCTGTTTTTGTTCCTGTTTTCGAATTCTACATTAAACACCAGCCAGCCTGACCCTGGTAGACGATAATAAACACGCGTTTTGCCATTGTTTTTTGTTGTTGCTTAATTACACCAGAATCGAATAGCTGCGATTGTACACAAGATACACGAGTTCACAAAGAGGCAACACGGATACCCCATCATTAAAAAACTTTGAAACGTTAATTAAAATGTTGGTTATTACAATATACAGTAAAACCCCACTTCTTCGAACTCGGTTTACACGAATACCCCTCATTCGTCGAACAGTTTTTTTGGTCCCGACCGAGTTCGTACATATTTTTTGTAAAGTAATCCCTGATTAGCCGAACAGTTATTCCTCGAACAAATATTTGTCCCGACTCTTCATTGACATAATATCAATCCTATCTACTTTTGTTCGGAAACAAAGGTACACAGGCTCAATCTTGTGCATTTGAATGTAAAATCACAACTACATCAAGGCCTTTGCTTTTTAAAACATGCATTTTGCGAACATTTGAAAACAAGTTAAATTTAAGTCATAAAGAAATAGTTTGGCCCTATGATGAACAGTAAATGAATGAGGAGAGGAAAATACGAACGGAGGGCAGGACAGACGGATGAATAAACTATAAACAAATAAAGTTAATGACACTAAACAGACAGACAGTTCGACTGACTGTTTCGTACCTGGGCCGGTGAAGGGGGTCGCAATGGTGGTGGTTTGTAGAAAGATATCTGAGAAGATCCGAAGTCTTGGAAGTAAGTGGACACGGCCCGCCAGTCATCTGTCCCGAAGGAGTAGTGGGTCTTTTGGATATCGCTCATATTTCATCCGAGTGAAGATCAACTATCGACTGTCTACATGTTACCAGTCATAGGCAACACTGGGCATTATGACGTCATACCAATTGTGACGTCATAATGACCCTTAACTATGAGGAGTTGGCTCGAATTAAAAGTCAATATGGACGGGAAATACAGTGGGGGTTTTCTCCGAAAAATTTACCATTGTCCCGTCTATAGAACTATAGGATTTTATAATCTGGTACCTAAAATCGGAAGTAAGGTCTGGTTCTCAGTTCCGTTTTAAAACTCAATTCTGAATAAGGAACTAACATCAAACTCTCGTGCCACCGTCGATTTAGCCGATAGAACGATTTTATTTAAACTTATTTTTTAATCTTTTTAATATAACTTGATTATACTCACATATATATGCAGAGCAATTACGTATATTATGAGACATTAATATTATTATGATATTATTATAAACAACAAACAAACCACGGAATTAGATCAAAGTCCGTGAACAAAGATTAGAAACTCCTCGACTTCTATCCCAGTGGTGTATGTCAAGGCTCGGCATTTGCTGCCTGCATATTCTTAATGACCACAGATCTCCCATTCATGTCTAATCTAACTATTTATGGTATATCGAATACGGCAGCTGTATAAACACTATGAATGCTTATTTTACACAAAAATACCACTCTAGATAAATATCCGGGTACCGTGACCTATAATGACACGCCTTAGGTATTTTTTCTTCAATAATATAAACGTACTTTGCAGCACATCATGCTCAGAGACCCAATATTTGTTCGATTTATGAAGTTCTCCAAATGACATCTTCGAGATCTATGAACTTTCCTTTCGATATCACACACTAGATCTGCACTCTTGGGATCTAATGACAAAATCGAGGGCGCACGTTAAGACATTTGACCAGAGACGTATTATTCGTTCCTGATATGAACAAATGACCAATAGCACTGCTCAAAATCAATGGCAACGGTACTGTGCTTCGAATATTATTAAAGAGCTGTGACGAAATTTATCATTATGGTACCTCGAGCCAAAGCAGGAAACTCATCGACACATACTAGCAATCTTCCTTTTTAATATCTTTTTTATTGTTATGAACTACTTGACGAAAAACGACCGTTTTAGTTTTGTCCACTGCCTACAATACTTTTCTAGACTAACACATATTTCTTGAAGCCCTTCAACTGAATCAGTAAATAATTCCATGTCGTCCAAAATTTAGTTCTTCGGATTATAATGACTATTGCAACTATTTATAAAGAATAAATCAAAATCATTGATTTCAGAGAGAACGGTGTAGGTGAAGTATTTCGCTCTGTAAGAGGCCGATATGGTGATCAAAGAAACCAGACAATTTGCCATTTAATTTGACACAACGTTTTACATACATGTATAGATTTAAAAACATTGAGAAGTTTTTCTCTTAAACTAAAATTTGAAAGTTTAAACCAAAGTTTTAGTCAATCAACTTTATCAAAAATAATAATGCAACCGTTGATTTTTATTGAAAGATTTTAAGACAACCAATATCATCAGCATGGTGGCGCGCTCAGAGATTGCGAATCCACCATGACAAAATCCAAGAGTGCAAAGAAGATATATCTTGAGTGGTCTGGGTCTTCCTGTGTCCAGTGACACGAGCAAAGCCCTAAACATCCGTTATCACTGTCTGTTTGCTAGACCTCAAAGGACCCTGTCATCGTCTACAGTGGCGGATACAGAGGGGTTTTTTGGGCTTCAGGAAACCCCCCCACCCTGAGAATTTTCTTTAAAAATCATGTATTTTCACCATTTTCCTCAATTTTTCCCTACATGGAAACCCCTCCCTGGAAATTTTGAAACCCCNGAGCAAGAGGTTCTCGATTCTTAACGTTCACACAAGATTTCTGACCTAATCAAACGGCGAAATTTTGAAGAGGCAGTTAAAAGAACTACCTCTATGACATTTATCAATAATTTTTACAGAATTCTGATCGTACCGAAAGCCAAATTAGATATCCAATATGATTAAATCAGCCTCACAATAAGAAAAACTTGACCAGATGTTTTTGGCAAAATTGTTTGTGTAAAAAATAAAAAATAAAGATTTTCAAAATGACTGCCATATAAAGTGACTAAACAGTGATCATTCCCAACAAGTTTTGTTGAAATCTGACCAGTAGATCTAGAGTTTGAGAGTTAATTTCGAATATTTTTTTCAAAACGGGTGTCATGGCAATCATATTGGTTTTAAAATTGGTCCCAAAGTAGCAAAAAATAGTCCGGACCGTGTGCTGATAATTCCACTAAGTTTTGACAAAATTTGTTCAGTAGAAAGTTTTATTGTAAAAAGGTTAACGACACCGGATATAAGAAAATACATGAATCAATAGCTGGATTGAAAAATCTGAGGAGGAATTATATACATTTATGGTTGTATCAAAGGAAGAATATCGATGGGTGTTCTTACAAACGAAACAAGCACCCGGGGCTCACTTGAGATATTTATAGAACGCTCTGAAGCCACCAATCAGTGTCTCCGGTTTTTGCGAATGTCGGGACCCAAAATGGATCAAGGCTTGAATTTTGCAGTGTCGTACGCTTCAAATAAATATTTTTTTGTCAGTATATTAACATTTTATGATGACCTTTAGAATTAATATGACAAAAAGTATTTCTATACTGTGAATTTATTCCTATAGTCCAAAACAGAGTACAGTCATTTTTTAAAAACGTAGCCAAACATTAACATTTTACGTTTTCTTGGGCTATCTGAACTTAAAAAATAATAATCTGTAGACAAAAAATGGTGCATGGCTATCTATTCTAAGACTGCATCATTGTTATAACTGATTTGTTGACACATTTTTTTATTTATAAGTACTTTTGAAAAAAGTGATCCGATTTGGGTACTGCCACCTTACAGTAACTTCCCTTTGCTTTGGTTTTGGAAACAACTGTAATTGGACTTTGCAATTCAACTATCCTGATCAGACAGCTCATTTTGGATTGTATTGTGATAGGAGGGCCAGGGTTCAAGTCAAGGGCCAGTGTTCATGAAACGGTTATCAGCTAAAACTCATATTCTTTGCTTAACCCATTCACCCCTATGTAACTTTAGTAAACTCTTCCATGCTTTGATCTGGATGAGTCCATTATGGTCTACAGTGGTGATAGGGTTAAGCCATAATTTCTTGTTCAGGAGATACATTTATAAAAAACTCAATGAGTTTGAAGAATTTTGATTAGACTCAAAGCCGATTACCTTTTTTGAATATTTACATTTGACCTGTTGGCCGTGTCACATAATTTAAGTGAGTTTGTTTGAGTACAAAATCCATTCTTGAGCATGAGAATGGTTTCATGCATACAGGACCTGGTCTGGTCCAGCCTCAGTTTGACTTCCAGAACACTTTTTTAACCCTTTCACCCCTATGTAACTTTAGTAGACTCATGCAGAGGTCTACAGTGGTGAAAGGGTTAAAACTTCCTTTATATTGTTTTTGCTCCATTGAAGTTTCCCTGGTATGATTTAAAAATAAAATAATATAGGTATTGTAATACTGTTACAGATTTGGGCAGCGGTGCAGTCGGTATTCCGTCTTTGCATATTGCAGAGTTATCTTCTCTTGGGAGAAGGTATTGATTGTTACCTCTCTTGTTTGTGAGAGTAAAGTCATCAATTTTTGAGAAAACGACGTAATTTTCTCACACAAACCAATGACATAACAATCAATACCTGCTCCCAAGAGAAGATAACTCTGCAATATGCAAAGATGGAATATCTTTTACCTTAACTGATTAACGCTATATAATGAACCTGTTCAACAAAATACAAAAATATTTCTGGTTGTTGCACATAATTTATTGAAGGTTTGTACATCCACAGCCTGTAGTGATAGGAGACCCGTCACAAAGCTGTTGGCTACAATACAGAGTGTGTGCGGCTTCAAACATCAGTAGGCTTGTCTGCACACTCATGTACAAAATTGTTTTATTAAAGATAGTATCTCCACAGATACCATTATCACAGATAGAGTTATAATAATATTTACATATATACACACAATTTCAATAAAATATATAAAAAAAATATTAACATTTCTGAATGCAGTGATGTATACATCTCAATATTGTTTTTTGCTATCAAATTATTTCAACATTCTTGATCTTTATTCAAGCATTCGTGGAATGGTTTTACTTGAAACATTAGAACGAAGAAAAACGTGACATAAATAGATGATGTGGATGATAGTATATCAAACCCAATATATACCTATGCAAGCTGTATTGACTACTCCTAATAAAGAGGGGAAAATTGGGAAGCCGGGAGGGGTCCGGGTTAGCTTAATATATCTACTAAAATTGAGGATGTGGCTTGAATTCATAAATAACATTATGGACGGAATACAGCCCAGGTTGTGAATACAGATCTAGGGCATTAGTAACACAACATTAACACACTCAATGACAAATAAAAATATAAACACAGGTATTTTATTACTGGTCAATAAAACCAATCTATCTCTTTAAAGCACTGTACAAATCCCTAGAATCATTTGTAGAGATCACGGCTTCAAAATCAAATTGTCAATATTTTTATTCTTTGGAGTGTATTTTCGTATCATATGTGAAAAAGTCATTCAACAATTCACATAAAAAAGCACACACAAAAAATTGTTTATAACCAAACCAATATTCTTCTTTATAAGTTGTTTTCATATTTTTACTTTTTTTTTTATAATCTGACAAAACTGTTGGCTAAAGTGGATATTGACAGTGAAGTTAAGAATTTCCAAAAACCAACCAGGAACTTGTTCAAAATTTCCAGCTTTCATTTCACAATGCAATTTTCAATAAGTCCCATTTAACTCCCAGTTTATGGAACCTTTTGATTGATAACGGAGCACTACTGAATTACGTCCCATTTGTATTACTCTATTACTTCCCTTGTGTTCAAAGCATAAAATGTGAAATTTTTGACAATTTCTACACCAAAATGATTCTTGAATACTTCTGAATTGTAATTTTACATCTCATACAAAGTTCTGTGCATGTTGAGATTTAAAATACATTAGAACATATTAACATTTTTACTTTAAATCTTAGTAAAAAATTTGGATGAAATAATTGGAGGTTGATATGCTAACTTGACCCATCAGAACCATACCAAACCCAATCAATACTGTACTACATCATAAACAGGTGCTATGTTCTTTGTATGTGCTGCATTTCATAACATTTAACGAATGTTATGATAATAGTTATTTAAGTATATTACAATCTCGGTGTAAGCCAAGAGGGTAGGAATCGCTTTCAAGGCGCTAATATTCGCAGTTCTCTCCCTTTTTCTCATCCAAAACCCTCCAAAATTGAAACAGGATTTCGACAGAATGAAGTCTCCTTTTGAGAAAACTAAAACTATTATCCATATTTGAACAACAGAATGATTTCAGTTCCAGACAGTTCACAGTATATCAGTTAATTACAAGTTTATTTCTGTTCCTCCTGGGACGGAGTTTGAACTACATTTGCAGTGTTTGGGGCAGTTTTTGGTGGTTTGGCGTTCATGTCAATAATTTCATCTCCGTCTTTTACAATTTGCTTGTGAGCGGCCACCAGGTACCTTCTCTGATCTCTCCTCACTGTTTAAAACACAAAACAAACAATTTACATTACTATAAGTTGGTGTTTTTGTCAAACATGTCTGCCTTTGATCATAATGGAAATGCAGCAATCCTTGATATTTTTGTACTTTTTTTATAATCATATTATGGCATCAATAAATCTTGTACTGTATACCAGGACATTTTTGCTGTAGTTTTACTTATTTTTTGCCCGATGTAATGTCAGGACAATGTTATCACTAGAGAAAATGCAAGATAAATGACATAATAAACATAGTCATTAAATGCGTAGGGAGAAATTTACACCATGCAAATTTGGGATTTAACCAGCATAGGGCATATATTTCACTGGACTAAAGAAAATGAGATCAAGTCTGATTTATTCCTCTTTTGAAAAGAATTTTACAAGTTCTGGTGCAAATTTTAAGCTTTTTAAGTTAGGTCATATTTTCTTAAAGTTAAAGCGAATAATCTGAAATTATTAAAAGATCCAAAAGAGTACACCTTAAACATGATGTTGAACAGTATTGCGCTTCAAAAAATTATAAAAAATTGAATGATTTTAATGGAGGACCCATCCCCCATCCGTAACGGTTGGAGGCTGAGAAAGTATAGCCACTGTTTAAAAACAAATTCACACATGGCTACTTTTTTGCCTACTGATTTTTTAAGACCAGTGTGAGCCCTGAAAGGTTACCATGTACAGTATTCAGTAAAGTTTTTGTGAGTTGAGGCCAAGGTCTTACAAGATGCAGTAACAAATTAGCTACAAACGCCTTGATATATACATTTGAGAATCTTTTATGTACCTGTAATTTAAAAAAAACCACCATGTACTAAGCAGCCTTACCTTTTTCTCGCATGTCCTGTTTCTGTACCTCTGGGATGAGGAAACAGTGAACAAGATCAGCCACGATCTCCGACGACTGGAGCTCTGTCCGTCTGTACAAAATAAATTAATTATGGTTATTCTCTATAAAATTCTCCTATGGAGTATGTATAGAATTTTATAGCATGTTGTTTTTTAAATACTTATTTCTTGGATCTAATAATCTTGCAAACATTCAATTACATATTAACTAAGCAATTTAATTCATTCACCCCTGAAATTTCAAAATGGACTATTCCTACCTTTGAATTGGAAGAGTGTAAATGTGTCTTCAGGGGTGAATGTGTTACTGTAAGGTATACCACAACACACATAAAAGTGTGTAAATTTGAAGCATTTCTCAAAAGTATAATATTGAAATAGTGTAAGTAAAGTGGGTGTTAAAATCTGGTTTACATTGACAATCTTTATATGGACAGAAATATCAGTTTTGTATAAACTGGAATCAATTTGCAACAATTTTAATCGAGACTTTTGTGTTTCTAGAGCAGGAATTTCCTTATAATTTACACGCACACCCAAATGCTTAATGATGGATGAATTGGAATTAACTTATGCCAATGTTGAGGGTGATTTTCCTTCAAGACAAAAAAAACTTCTGTGTATTTCATACATGCCTAAGGCCAACTGATAAAACTTCTGTGATAACTTACTTGTCCTCCATTTCATAAGCAAGGTCGTTAATCATCGTCGCCTTCTCCGAGATTTCGCTGCGAGCCTGAATGTCGGCAGTTTTGTCAATAGAGCCCAGAATGATATCTTCTAGATACGTATCAACGCTGATCTGGTGAACTTTGACCGCCTGGAAACAACACAAAAACAAATTTTGTTTATTTTGCCCAGAACACTGGCATAGATCGGACAGTAGAAATCTTTTTCCTTTCTAGTCTTGAATTAAAGACACAAATGTATATTTCAGTGTGGCGATTGGATTTCTCACAATATGGAACATTATCTGGCATTGTGAATGACTAAGTCTGTTATCTAAGTATGTAATTTCTTTAAGTGCCTTTCTTGAATTTTTATTTTTTTATTTATGATAGTTTAATTTTAGGTAGTGTTAAGGTTGTGCCAAAGTGACCATGAAATCCAAATTACATGTGTTTTTTGTTTACCAGAACTGCTTTCAAGATTCAAATTGGATGAATAGTAATTGATTTAGCTGTTTGTATATAATTGTTATATTGTTTACCAGGAAATTTTCGCCGCATGTTAACTTTTCGCCTTTTTCGCCCTCCGTTATGACGGCGAATTGATCTTAAAGCAAACATAAGTAAACAACATATTCAACACAGTGAATAAAAGTGTAGGGCGAAATTAACACTTGGCAAAAAACAGATTTCACCAGCGTGGGGCAAAAGGTTCCTGGTGTACAATACTCTTCTTCAACCAACCTGTTTGAAGACTTCATCCTCCTCTCTCCTTCGCCTCTCTTCCACTTGACGACGCCCACTTTCCTCAGCCTCCCTGATTCTGCGCTGACGCTCCGCGAGCATGGAGAAGGCATGAATCCTCCTCTCCTCCTGTAGGCGAATCAACTCTTTGCTGAGGAAGTCATAGGTGTCGCCCATACTCGATCCCTCGAGCTGACTCATCGACTCGTCCACCAGGAATTCCTAATGATTACAGATATGTCAGTACATCAAAATCATTATGAATTTTTAATCACAAAAATCCTGAAGATCATAGGAAAACTTCAACGAACTTTTAAAACAGCTACAGTAGGACTTGTCCTGAATATTCTCTTTAGAAATTGACAATTTCATTGTCACACCCAAAGATTAAGAAAACTGAAAACAAAAAGCAGTATAACAAGATGTAACGGCAGTATAACAAGATGTAACGGCAGTATAACAAGATGTAACAGCAGTAAAACAAGATGTAACGGCAGTATAACAAGATGTAACAGCAGTATAACAAGATGTAACGGCAGTATAACAAGATGTAACGGCAGTATAACAAGATGTAACGGCAGTATAACAAGATGTAACGGCAGTATAACAAGATGTAACGGCAGTATAACAAGATGTAACAGCAGTATAACAAGATGTAACGGCAGTATAACAAGATGTAACAGCAGTATAACAAGATGTAACGGCAGTATAACAAGATGTAACGGCAGTATAACAAAATGTAACGGCAATATAACAAGATGTAACAGCAGTATAACAAGATGTAACTTTACCATGTTTTTTTTCTGGATAAATGTAGTTTTGATATTATTTATTCAGAAAACACTTCAAAATGTCAGATGTTATAATTAAACAGTCACAGAAGTTATTTCAGCATTGGGACACTCGGCTGTATGATAAACTAAATCCTTCTTCCAGACATATATCATCACTGATCCAAATTCTTAACAACTCTACTACCGCTTTAAGTATATCCAACGGTACATACTGGGGTTCTTTTCTGTGTTTCTTTTCCATTAACTCATTCACCCCTGAAGACACATTTGAACCCTCCAAATTCAAAGGTTGGAATGGTTCATTATGAAATTTCAGGGGTGAATGAGTGCAGGTTTTTAAGAACTTGTTAGCTTGACAAAATGTCACCCCACAATAATCAATTGTAAAAAAAAAAGGCTCCTTGCAAAATAACTTTTTTTTTTTTAAATCAAAAGATGATATTGAAAGTAATTTAATACATTTTGAATAAAAAATATATATAATAAAATGCAGTTTAAACTTTAAAATAACATTTATAAACAAAATCTTGATTGTAAACATTTGTGTAAACTAACAAAGCTTTGTAAAGTGATGGCTGTAGCCAGCCACAGGTACAGTTGTCAATAATGGTACATTGAATTCATCAATTATGTAAAAGCAACATCGACCAGGTCCAACAAATGTCTCTCTTAAAGAGTAATTAAAAACATAAAACGAGAAAACACAGACCAAGCGTTGATCGTCAACTAAAAGATAAACAAAACCTCTGATAATACACACGGCTGTTTATCGAAAAAAAATGCAGTTTTTTTTATCAGGGTTAGACACTAACTGTTTTTGTTAGGTAGTCCACATGACTAGTTGAATAGATTGCTTACTAGTCCAGAGTCAATGTAACTAGTCCAAGATTTCCTGATAAGGAAAAAATTGATTTACAGCAAGAAACATCAAAAGTAATTGACGGTAACGTTTTAGGAAAATTTTGACAATCATCCAACGAATATATCTTATTTTTAGCAGCTTTCTAAATTTTAAAATGAAATATTTTTCTTTTATAACCGTATTTTCACAAGTACAAAGGACCAGTTAGGTTAGGTGATTCACTAGTCCTTGCTGAAATCTACTAGTCCAGGACTAAGGGACAAGTGTTAGTGTCGACCCCTGAATTTATGTCAGTAAGAGGCATTTTCTGTATCAAAACTCTAGAACTTAAATACAATAATACTATACTTGAGTATCAGTGATTTATTGATAGATGATAATATGATAAAATACAATATTAGATGATGCTACATCCTCATTGGTTTGATTGTAATCACATGGAGGTCTGTGATTTGTAATATTGACTAGGTGTTACTATTTTTAGAAACAGCAGGCTAATATTCACTTTATGATGTCACTACATTTGTCAGAGCGCATTTGGGTTGTCATCCTGGGCTTATTAGAGGATAAATACCATAAAAAGATTAAGTGTTCAAATTTATTTTGTTCTTAATATCTTTATTACTTTTTTGAATAATTTTCATTCTTCAAATCTATAACTTGGATCAATTTTTTTTTGAATTACCATGACTGAAGTAAAAACATAAAGGTTCTTTGAGTGATTTATAAAATGATCCCATTTAGAAATAAAATATGAAAATACTATTTGAACTTTTGAAAAATCCAATTAGTTTAATTCATGCATCAATTGACGAATCTTGATTCAATTAAACCCTGGGTTGTGTGTGATAATCTGATTGTTCAGATATTAATTGTAATATTGAGTCTATCAATGTTGAAATATTTGAATATTTAGGAGTTTAGATAAATGTAGTAACAGCTCCCCCCCCCCCCCCCCCCCCCCCCTATTTTTGTTCTTATAAAATTTTATATACCAACTGAACTCCTTGTCGACAACACTTTGTCGTTTCTAAAGACGATTCATTAAATAATAGATCACAAGAGACTGGACAAATTAAGCTTCACATAAACACTCCACATATTGATCTACGAAACACCATCTGTCTATAGTACCCTTGGACAGGTAAACTTCGCATCAAGAACAACACGAAAATAACATCTTTTTAATTACGTAACAAACAAAATGATCTGTTTTTGTTTTCACTATCTAATTTGGTGTTTCATGCTGATTCTGATTGCGATAATTTGTTTTGACTTTCAACTAGCACATTAAGCCTGAAACGCTGTCTCTATTAGGGCTACAACAATACATTAACACCATGATACGATACGTATCACAATGCTGTTGTCACATTATCAACATACATATATAGCAACAGTAGAAGAAAAGAGAAAAGATATGTTGCAAATTTGTAATGGAAATACTACAACTTGAAATAGACTTAAAAAATTTGCACAATTCACGTCTTTTGACATGTATGCCGAGCTTGGGCTGTCACTGGCAATATTATGTAACATACTGTATTCAAAATATTGTGATATATCTTCGCGTGCTATATCGTTGCAGCCGTAGCCTCTATATGATATGCCTTGTAAGCATATTTCACTTTGACCCCAATATGTCAATGTTACCCTTTGACCCCTGTACATGGTCTATGTTGCATTTTGACACCTGGTTGTGGTTTATATGTTACCCTTTGACCTTTGGACATGGTGCCAGTTACACTCTGGACTTTGGATTTTATCTAGATGTCGCTTATGCTTCTCTTTGACCTCTTGACCTTTGGACATGACACGTGTTCTACTATGGCCTTTGGATTTTACCTAGATGTAACCTGTGCTACTCTTTGACATCTGGATATGACCTATGTAACTCTTTAACCCCTTGACTTTGCCCGTGTTGCCCTTTGACCCCTGGATGTGGCCTCGATTACACTTCAGTACCTAGACTTGACTTGTGCGCACTTTAACCTCTGGATATAGCCTTTAAATTGCTACAATTTGATAGCTGGAATTGGCCATTTTAATTCCCCCCAATGGTATTGATTTGATGTAATACAAAAGTATAAGATACACGACCACACTGACCTTGTGTTCGTGCAGTCTCCTCTGTCGCTGCAGTGCGAGGGTGGCCTGTTTCTCTTGGTGTTTAAGGCTCTGTTCCGCGTCTTGTAGAGCATGGGTACTCCTCAATTCCTTGATCAGTTCTGTCCTCTTCTCCTTCCCCTCAAATATCTGGTCAACAAAAGCAGATCCTTGTACTCCAATTAAACAAATAACAATTTTGTAACTTTTTTCTTTTCATTACAATCCTTTACATGATGCAGACCTTCAATTTATAGAATATTCCATATGAAAACAAATAACAACGAAAAAAAAATCAAAAAAATCAAGTGCTTGCACCTTAGTACAGCACCTGACACTTACCATGTTCTGTATGGCACGACCCCGAATGACCTTCTGTAAGTAGATAATGGCCAACTCCTTTTCTTCTTCCTCCTAAAACACAAAAACATCCCTCATATGTCAATCATGGCAAGTTAAAGTTTCTCCAGAATAAATACCATACACAAAGTTACCAATAGAGCGTTGTCATCTTCATTAAAACAAACTTTAAGCTGGAAACCTATACAACCTACCATCCAGCCAAATATTCATTAACCCTTTCACCACTGTGGACCATAATGGACTCATCCAGATCAATGCATAGTAGAGTTCAGTAAAGTTGTATAGGGGTGAAAGGGTTATGTGTTAAACTTGTCCTTCACATGTACCGATAATTACTTTATGTGGAATGCTGTACGTGACAGCAAGTATTCATATTTGCTTTCATTATTTTAATTTCCTGGTATACAGCAGTTGATTAGGGCTATTCCAGATATATGACAATTGTAAGGAAGGGGGTAGAGGATATAATTTGTATAATTGTCTCCCAGGAAATAATGTTGTTGGTGGGGGGGCATAAAAATAGTGCACCCATGCACGATCATATTGGGTTATATCCCATCTTTACTCATTACAGAACTACCCAATCAAATCGGTTTATTATAACAGTGTCAGTAATATATATACTTTAACCCTTACCACTGTAAACCGTAATGGGCTCACCCAGATCAATGCATGGTAGAGTCTACTAAAGTTACATAGGGGTGAAAGGGTTAATAATGCTATACAATTAATCACTTTTACTGAGGTCATTAAATAGTTTTATAAACCTGAAAACAAGTACATATCAACTTAGAATATAGTTTCATATCAAAAATGCATGCAACTAAAAATACAGACATTTTCAGAATACTGAATTCTTCAAAACTGATCATGCATAGCTTGCATGAAAATAAGAACCAAGGGAGGTAATCTGACTGTCAGTAGTACCATTCTTATTTCACCAATGTTTGTTTAATCTTAGTTTTACCGAGGGATAGTCTGGTTGTGATGTGTTAACTGTATATATATTCTCTGCTTCTTTTTGGCTCTTCCCGACATAATAACCTTTACAAATTTTAAATAAAAAAGTAAATTTGTCTGGCGTTGAAATACTTTAATTTTTTTCCCCATTAATTTCTTCAAAGTGATACATTTTATTAACATTATGTAATGGTATTATAAAACGCACAGTACAGTACACATGCACACTTCAAATTCGATATTATGAAATATTACAAAATAATGATATGATTAATTGGTGATCCACACTACCATAAACTTTGGTTTTAATTCATTCCCCCCTGGAATTTCATAATGAACTTTTCCAACCTTTGAACTGTTAGAGTACAAATGTGTCTTCAAGGGTGAATATGTTTAATCATGATCATGCTAGATGTTGCTACGATGGCAATATGATGACTTGGTTAAAAAGCTTACTAGATGTAACTTGTATACTCAATCATAGATATATTTAGTAAATGAGAAAAGCATTCACACGAAACAAAATTTGATGATTTCTTTTTATGAAAAGATGGATATGAAAATATGTATACCGGGTATATATTAATGTAAACAATACTTATAAAACCATTTTATGTTATTCTGAACCTAGAAAATTTCTATAAGACATGAATGCCCTTAAGCCTTGTAATTGATCTATAAATAGCAACAGTGACCTCGGAATCCTAAAATAAGATCTTATCCAAGGTATTCTCATACTTGACCTTTGTACAAACTATGATAAAATTTTGGTTGAAAATGAATACCTTAAAAATTAAATCAATGAACACCTGGGTACCTATAATAAACTTGATGAACATGAAAAAATGATTTATGATTCGGATGCTGACATGTTACTTTAGAAAACCAAAACAAGCAGCATCAAAATATTTGTATATACCTCCACCATCTTTTGTTGCTGAGAACATAATTAACATTCACATTTTATGATGTGGAAACAATTCATACATCAAAATGTTTTTTTGCTCAACTGGACACATTCACAACAGTTAATCTACCAGAAATGTGCAGAGTTCTCGTAAACGCCAGTAATTCAGATGAGCAATCATATTTTTTCCAGATATATCTTATCATAGTTATCAGATGTATTTTTTTTTAAAGTGAATTTAAATTTTGAAATAAATTCTTAAAGCCTTGTAAATCAGTAGAACTTCTTTTGATTTAGTTTTATATAAGATTTATATTAATAATATCTTATATTAATATTTAATGAAAATATGCACATTGGTAAAAAAACCTTTTTTTACATGTACATGTACAATGCTTTTTTCCCCTTGATGAAGTCTATTTTGAAATATTCTTAATTACCTCTTAGATGTCATTTTTAAAATTAATTACATCTAAGATTTAGTTTAATTACAAAAATCTATATTTATCTCAAACATTATTATAATTCACCCCATCACATCTGAAACCTCACTGAGGGTTATCGCTTCTTAACAATTACTTTGTTAGTTTTACTGTCACAGTTGAATTCTACCGGAGAATTGACGGTATGACAAGACTTTAATGTTTATGTATAATAAATTTAATACATTTTTCATTTAATAGATTGGTTTTCTCCAGTCAATAGTGAAAATTGTGATGTAGTTTTCCAAAACATAGACTGGATTGAAATAATAACACAGATTCTTACTTCGTACAGCTTCTAAATAAAATTGCTATAAATTGGGAATATTTTCCATTATTTTGCACAAGTTAACTCATTCACCGCTGAAGACAAATTTGAACTCTTCCAATTCAAAGGCTGGAATAGTTCATTATAAAATTTCAGGGGTGAATGAGTTATTGGGACAACCTGACCCTTTTATAGAAACGGTCACTGAGCTTACCTCAGGCGGGACTTCCACAGCTGGTGTTGGCGGACGGGGAATCGGCTTTTCTATTTTCTGGAGGAACCGTAACGGTTTTGGTTCCTCTTCCCCTTTAGCCTTTTCAGCTTTGAGGGACTGAAAGTTGTTAAAATAAGAATAAGATATGTAGTAATCTTACAGCTCGGATTTGTGTCAGTAATTACCAACATCAGATAATATTTAGAAGTTGAGAGCTCAAAATAAATTTTTTAGTTACTGTGAAACCAATTATTTTTCTAGGAGATTTATTTTTGTCAATTTCGAGGAAATTTGTTCTCCTAATCTGTGTATTTAAAACTTCTACAAAATTTTGTGAGATGTGTAACTCTTAAATAAAAGTACCTCATGCATGTCCATGAGTTCACGCTGCTTCCTGTATTTGCGTTTGATGAAACCAGCTTTTGTGACGGTTTTGGGTTTGGGTGCTTTGATCCTTGGGTTGAGGACGAAGTCGGGCAGAGATTGTTCAAGTTCAATCAGGCCTGAAACAAGATAAACAGACGTTGATCAACATTGTACAACAGTAAATACAAAAAACACAGGAGTCATGAAACTACAACAAAATATCATTATGTAACCATAGGAACAACACGTTCACATCCAGATTAAGCAATTTTTGACGAAATTATCAACATTTTGTTATAAGGATCTGAAAGTTTATACAGCATGGAAATTCACAATGATCATTATTCAACTCTTTCTATGTCCATCACCACTATGAGTGGGAAATTCGCAAAACTGACATGATGTTCTTATATTAGTGTACAAATTTATTCATTCAACATTTAACTCATAAACTTTTGGTTTAATTTGTTTGTGTTTTATGTCCTATTAACAGCTATGGTCCTACTTGTATAAAACATCTCAAAGTTCAGAAAATCTTAGACTTGAGGAAATCTCAAGAGTTGAGATGTTTTATACAAGTGGGCCATGGTCATTTAAGGACGTGCCAGGTTTTGGTGGTGGAGGAAAGCCAGAGTTCCCGGACAAAAAAACCCTGACCTATGACCAGTACCTGGCGACTGCCCCACGTAGGCCTCGAACCTGCGACCCAGTGGTGGAGGGTTAGTGGTAACTCATAAACAACAATGAAACCAACTTTAACTAATTCACCCCTGAAATGTCAAAGTGAACAATACCAACCTTTGAGTTGGAAGAGTTCAAATGTGTCTTCAGGGGTGAATGAGTTAACATATCCTGCTTTAGCACTGGACATTCTACTGTACCATTACCAGACAGCAATACATTTGTATTTTACCGTATCCGATGCCCGGTAATAAGCTCATCCATGTTCGTTACAGTTCAGTAGAGCACATACTATTTCACTGTCATGTAGCAAGCCCACACTTGTACCTTACATCAGAATTAGCGTATTTGACCCCCGGGCTTATTGCAGGATAAATACAGTAGTTAAAACTTTTCCGAAATTAATAGTCAAGATACATATGGATGATCAGGTGGTGTAGTGGATAACGTACTCACCTTTCACCTAGGCGGCCGGGCTTCAACTCCCCGATGGGATTTCAAAAGGTTTTGGGTCACCTGACCGACCATGGGGGTTTTCTCCGGGTACTCTAGTTTCCTCCCACATTAAGACCCACCCACCCACACCCCCACAACCCGCTAACATCTGGGCCAACAAGAGTGATTAAGATTATAAGTTGTAATAACTTGTTTCATAATTGTTGTAAAAGAAATAAAATTTATATACCTTGATAAGTGTTGATATGACGACTCCGAACAACATACTGCTCCGATCCTCGATCCAAAAACATCCCAATACGCGTCAGAGGAGCGTAGGTTTGAGACCCGTAGTTGGAGAAGTCCTGGATAACGTCGCGACGTTCCAGCTTTCCTTCAACCTGCTTCCTTTTGCCAGTTAGCTTTCGTATCGCTAAAAATTACAAAATCAAATGTTTATAAAGAAGATTCAGTATTTCATTAGCTATAATCTACATTTATTTTCTCTCTAACATGTATATTCCGGAACTTTTTAAGGAAACATGATTTAGATATCCAAATATTTGGTTGAATGAAAATATAAATGAAAGAGGAAGATGCTACTAACATGCCAATTATTTTTTTAGTACATATATAGTAGTCATTATTCTACTTACTTTTTATGTGTTCATTTCTTATTTTCTTTATCTTCGATTCTTTTTCTTTCTGTTTCTTTGACCTAAATAAAAACAAAAATAGCATCAATAGTCGATCATTTTTCACATCTTAATTCTAAAATTCCATCAGAATGTGTCAGGACCACATTGATAAAAAAAAATCTTCAAGCATTCCAGGTGATATTTTCTACTATTTCCCTAAGGTGTAATGAATGTTTCATCTCCATGTGGTTAAGACATCACTTATAGAAAACAACACAAAGAGTATATGAATATTTTACCTCTTAGTCATTCCTTGTAACCTTATTTTCAATACTTTAGCTATGCTCCGACACATTATTTCTTTTTCATACATTGATTCGCGGATCAACTACTTTAATTGAGTTAACGTTAACTCATTCACCCCTGAAGACACATTTGAGCTCATCCAAATCAAAGGTTGGAACAGTGCATTATGAAAATTCAGGGGTGAATGAGTTAAAGGAATTTTAAGTAATGGACTATGCTTAAGATCGCCATAACACTGTAGAATGAGAAAAGAAGTTCATTAGATAATTACCATTACTGTGTGAATAAAGTGAAAAAGTAGTAAGAACTTCTATAAATAGGACTGACCAGATTTTGTCGAGACGTTTTATGTTCAGCTCCTGATGGTTTTCTTCCCTCTTCTTCAGAAGGTCCTTCAATACTTCCAGTCTGGCTTCTTGTAACCTTAAATTTAAATGAAGTATCTTCGTGTGAATTCAAATGTATATATTCAACAGTTATCAAAAGTCAAAGGTGTAAAAACATATTTCCTATTTCATGTTGTAACACAAAATTCTTGCAGCTTGTTATTAAGTGCTACTGGACAACGATACAGTTTAAAGAAGTTACTGTGTACCACTATGGGTGGCCGAGTGGATAGCGCACTTGCCTTTCACCAAGGCGGCCGGGTTTGATTCCCTGATCAGACATTTAAAGGTATGGGGTCACCTGCCTGACCACATGGGTTTTCTCTGGGTACTCTGGGTTTCCTCCCAAAGAAATACCCCCAACCCCCACCCCACCCACCCCCCA